GGTGGGGTAAAGGGATGGAAAGAGAGAGAGAGAGGGAGGGGGAGGAGGGGGAGGGAGGGAGAGGGAGGGGGAGAGAGGGGAGAGGAGGGAAGGGGAGAGGGAAAAGGGAGTGGGAGACAAAGGAAGAGGGAGGGAGGGAGAGATGGAGAGGGGAGGGGGAGGGGGTGAGGGAGTGTGGGGGGGAGAGAGAGAGAGAGAAGGAGGGGAGGGGAGAGGGGGCAGTAAAAGCCCAAGCAGACTGGGGCATTGAGTCTCCAGGACATTCCAGCTCCAGCCAGCCGCTCCCTGACATTTATAGAAGGGCAGACATTGACATGCCAGGGCTTTAAAAGTCTGTAAAGTTCATTCCACACTCGATTTCCCTGGATCCTCTCCAGAGCCCCGGAAGCCAGCTACTGCCCTTTTCAGCGATGAGGAAGCTGAGGCTGTGAGAGGCTGTGCCTCCAGTCAAGCATTAGCAGAGGGGCCTGCACCACTCTGCCACAGAAGGTCATCTGTCCCAAGTGGAGGCCAGTGAACACAATGGCCCTGATGGGTTTCTGGTCTGAGCTGCAAACTGCTGGACGGCAAGGTGGCCTGGCTGTTCCTCACGTGGCAAGTCCCCTGTGTGGCGCCTTTGTCCTGGCCACACCCTCCATTCAGGCCTCACCCTCCTCTCCCTCCCCTCCTTTAAAATGTTGCTCAGGTGCACATTTAGGGTTAGGGCTAGAAACTAACCGTAACCCTAACCTACTGCCTTGTGCTGTGAAGCCTTCCCTGATCACCCCCACTCAGCCACCCAGCTGCTGGTGCCCGCCCTCCCACCTGACCTGGTGGTGTGTTCGATTTAATCACATTCTCCTGATGCTGTCCTCTCTGTTTTTATACGTCCTTATCTGACCCATTAGAACATAAGCTCCTGGTGGGCAGGGATGATTTCATTCTTCCTTGGACCCCCAGCACCAAGCACAGTACCTGGCACATGGAAGTGCTTCATAAACAATTGTTGATTTGATTGAGCCTAGAGACATGAGGAGGATATTGGGATTTATTGCAGGGAGAGGCGTGTGTAACATGGTCTAACCTTCACTTTAGGAAAATTACTTTGGGACTCTTGGTGCACAGATTGGAGGGGGGAGTGCCTTGAGATGGGGTGCTCGACTCTGAATAGTCCTGGTGAGAGGTGACAGCTGCTTGAAGGAGGGTGTGAGGATGGTTTGTGCAGAACAGCCTGGCAAAGACCACACGATGCACTGGCTTCCTTCTGAGGGCAGTGAGCAGTGGTCTGTCCAGTGGGAAGAGCCCAGACTTGGGGCTCAGCTCTTCACTCCCTCCCAGTGAGACTCATCTCCACCAATAAGGGGCTTTGGGACAGAGGTGACATTTTCAAAGCTGCTTCATCTCTCTGGGCCTCAGGCAAAGACAACCTCTAACCCTTGTGCTTTTGTGCCTTGACAATGCCCCTCCCAGGACCTTCTCCTTATGACTCTAGAGTCCACCAGTCTTTATCTGCTTCTGCAGAGATCTGCAGACCTCACATAAGGGGCAAATTGCTTCCTTCTGGAGGCCTCCCTCTAGATCTGCTCCATTCCTGGGCACATTGAGGGGCTTTCAGTAATGGCCTGGCCAAGGTCTTCTTTGCAAACAGACAAGTTAGACAAGTGTCTACCCACAGATTTTCTCTGTGTTCCCGATCCCCCCCCCCCCCCACTGCTGGTATGGGCATGGCCAATGGAGAGAGGCTTCAGAGCTTGAGCCTGAGAAAAGGGTGGGGATGTGGGAGTGGGGTGGGCAGGGCTCTAGTGCCCGTAGATCTGGGCTGCGGTGTGGGGTGAGGCAATGTTTTAGGGAGTATGGATTGTTTTAATTGATCTGTGAAGGCCTCTCTAGGCTAAAGCTATTTGCAGAACTCGAAGAGTTTCAACCAACTCTCTCGCCTTTGGCCCGATGTTGGCCCAATCAACGGACACCAGAGGATTCTTCCTAATGCTTAGAGGAGGAGAATGACTGCCTGTGGGATTCATTAAGAGGCAATCAGCCACAACAGGAGCTAATTCTCCTCCACAGCAGAAGCGTCTATAAACAACGTGACATCAGGAAGTCTTGACTCAGCCAGGCAGGCCCGGCTGGGAGAAAGGCTCTTTGTCAAGGATGCAGCTCCTGAGCATCTCAGAGGTGCTGCTCTGCAGGAGGGCAAGAGAAGGGGGTTGGGTGGGCAGGGCCCTGGGGATTCAGCAAGGAGAGAAGGGAGAAGGGGGGATTGAGTCAGGCTTCCAGGCTGGCCCAGCAAGGCCACTAGCAGTCACAGGCCTGAGGGAGGCCCGCCTCTGATGAGACAGCAGAGGCCAATAGCCCATCATGGCCTGCTTGGCACTGGGCCTCTCTACCCCAAGGCTAGGCAGGACCTCAGGCCACACACCGGAGAGGTCTCGAACCTGCCTTCCGAACATGGCAGGATTCCTGGGGCTGGGCTTCTGATGACTGGACTCCCCCTGGTGTCCCAGGAGATGAGATGTCCAAGAAATCATTTCAGCGACAGCTGCCTGTCCAGAGCTTGGGCTCACTTTCTGCCAGCTACAAAGGGCCTTCCTCAGAGGCTGTCTAGTATGGCACCCCAGCCCCAACTCTGCCCAAGGCAGGAATTCCCACCTACAGCATTCCTAGCAGGCCAGACTGATGCTCCCTGCCCTCCTCCCCCACTGACTAAGGTTGGCCCTTCTCAGTTTCATCCTGGGCCAGGCCCTCCTCCCTCCAGCCTCAAGCCTCCTTTCTGCTCTTACTCACTCCCCACCCCTTCCTGGCTCTCACACATGTCCAGACTGGGAACCTGAGCTGCCCTTTGCAGTCTTCTTGTCATTTTTCTCCCCACCCCCACAGTTCTGCCCTGCCTTGCTGACTCGATTCTCCTTATGGGCCCTTTTCACCATTATGTAGTTGCATCGTTTCAGTTGCGACTGAGTCATTTGAGATCCCATTTGGGGATTTCTTGGCAAAGATACTGCAGTGGTTCACCATTTCCTTCTCCAGTTTGTTTTACAGGTGAGAAACTGGGGTGGAGTGACCTGCCCAGGGTCACACAGCTAAGAAGGGTCTGAGGTCCCATTTTGAACTCAGGAAAATGAGTCATCCTGATCCTAAGCCCAACATTCTATCTATTGTGCCACCTAGCTGCACCCTTTCACCTCCATGCCCTCACGTAAAATGCCGCTGGACTTCTACTCTGGCTGGGTCCCCCTCCTCCCGTGAGACAGAACTGCTTCATCTCTTGGACAGTTTGGAAAATTGTCCCATCCTTGAGGAAAAGGATTGGACTCCCTTTTCCAGCCCTCAGGGAATGACAAGTCAATACAACTGTTTTTTACACTATTGATAGACTCAAATCCCGGCCCCAACTCTGTGTGACTCCAGGCAAATTCCTTAGCCTCTCCAGGCCTTAGTTTCCCCATCTGTAAAATGGGATGATATTGATGAGGTCTAGAGGTTTAGGGGTGCCAGAACCCCAAAATCAACACATGCAGGTCCTACCTGAATTCGACCCAAGCCTTTTTTCAGCCAGAGACAAGGCTTGTTAAGGATTGGTCATATTAGCCAGACTCTTAAGGAATCTGAGTATGTGTAAGCTATTGGCTAGACTGTAAAAATCTAAGCATCTTAAATGGACACTACATGGACCTTATACAAAGAAAGACTTCGGGAGGGATCTAGGAAGGATCTTGATGGGAGTGACTGGGAGGTTGAGAGTGGGATCTAGATAGGGTTATGGGTGAGAAGTAGCCAGGGGCCATATGTAGGCAGGTAAAACAATGGAGGGCTAGGCCAGATTAAGGGCTACAGAGAATTGGGAGATTAGGCGATAATGAAAGGTCAGTTGATAGGACCATGGCCTCAGGGGAATGCTACAGACCTAGACCAAATGGGAGAATTCAAGGAGAATCCCTTAGACAAATGGGACCCAAATTCTTTTTGGAGTAAGGGGCAAAGGTCTCAGCCTGGGTCCACACCCCATCAATATTCTCTTCCTATGTTGTATTAAATGAGTTGATACTCACAAAGCACTACAGACATGCCAGGTGTTATAACTTCTCAACCAAATGCGGATTTCTAGCCCTGACCTCTCTCCTGGGCTAGTTTTCCATCACCTGCTGGACACTGCCTCTCATTCTACCAACCAGCAAGCATTTATCAAGAGCTTATTCAATGCCAGCCCCCTGCCAGTATAAAGATAGATGTGAAAGACTGACCCTGCCCTCAAGGGGTAACAAAAGGACCCCTATTAGAAGACACAAAATAGAGTAAGGTAAACAAAAAATCAAGCCAAGGTGGTCTTTGGGGCGAGGGTGGGGAGTCAAGAAAAGCTTTCTGTGGCTGGCCTTGAGCCAAGCTTTGGAGGAAGTGAGGGATTCTCAAAGGCAGAATCAGGAGGCGCAATAGCAAGTGAGCCACTTGTCTGGATGGCAGAGCATCTGAAAGGGAGTAATGAACAACTTGTCTGGACAAACAGGCCACCAGCAAGTTGTAAAAAGCCTAAACGCCCAACAGAGGAATCATCATCTGATCCCAGGGCGATGCTGGAGGTCCTGGAGCAGGGGAGTGGGCTGGTCAGGTCTGTGCTGGACAATCAGTGAAGAGCCAGGCTTTTGTTTTCAGTCACAAGATGAATTGCTTTTTATTCTGCACAAGAAGTTGTTATGTTTGGTATTTTGAACACACACCCTAACCGGAAATCTCTAGGCAAGAGTTCAGTGATTCATTGTGTTCATGCCCCGTATTGTGGCATCTAGCTCAGGCATTAACCAGCTGGGAAGCTTCGCAAAGGGCTCCGAATTTCATACACTTTTCCTACAGCAAACAGGGTTGTGAAGAAAGCCAGCCCGAACTGGTCAGTGAAAAGCCAGATGGAGACGGCCAGCATGCTGCTGGTGACACAGGACTGGAGCTCAGGATGACCACCTCTCCACGTCCATCCAAGAACAGGGGCCTTCCCGATACAAGTGGGGACTTTCAACAAAGACACCCATACGTTTCACGAGTTTCTAGAGCCTTGCCCTTTAATTAATACAAAACATTATGACAATTATTCCATAGGAATCAAATCCATTTTATAAAAAGAGGTTCATAAAACAATCAAGAAGCATTTACGTGCCAAGCCCTGCAATGAGGGCCAAGTAACACTTTGATTCTGCTCATACTCCAAATCTCAGCATTCAATGTTGAAAGCATTGGTCCTGACCGTTAAAATCAAGTTCAATTAGCAGCAAGCTGCTGGGGACCCTGGAGGGCAGCCAGGCCCTTCCACTCAAGCCAAGCCCTCCACTCCACTGCTCCTCTGCCCCAAGCAAGGCAAAGCCAGTGCGGGCAACCATCATGTCAACTCCAAGTCTCTTCTTCGGGCCAAATGGCCCCACTTGCTTCAGCTCTTCCTCAGCCGCCATGATTTCCAGCCTCACGGCATTCTAGCCACCCTCTGGCTGACTGGTGTGTCTTGGGGTACTGGGTGTTCAGGATGAGTATCACCTTCAGGCAGGGTCTGAGCAGTGCCTTAGGAAGCCTTTCAAGCAGCTTCCCTATTAATTAGTTGAAGATTGAAAACACTTGGGTATCCAGATCCTTATGCTTGATTTTATCACCGTTATTCTGCAAAGTAGAGCAACAGGTGTCTACAGGCGTCAGGCACTGAAGGACTGCCACCCCACAAAAGGGCCGCGGGCCACCTCTGGCCTCCACAGAGCTCGATGAATAAGACTCATCGATGGCTGGTGACTGGGCCCTCCCAGATATCCAACAACACAAAGAACCCCGGGAACGGCAGTGCTACTGTCGTGGTCAGGCACTCCGACAGCACCCCCTGGGAGCCCTAGAGCCAGCAAGGGCGCTAATGCTGACACTGTATTCCATACACTTGCCTTTCACAGCCTGTTAAAAGCCTGGTCTTGTGGCACAGCACAGTGCAGCAGCTTAGCTAGCTGACTCTCTTTGGGTCTGGAAAACCACACCATAGGGCCACAGATCCCCTCCCAGACCCTGGCCAGCTCTCCTGTCAGCGTGTTTAGGAGCCCAAAGGTGCCCAAGCAACCATCTATGATAAACTGACTCAAACTTGTCCATGTTCCAGGAAAGGCATTCAGTCTATCTATGCCACCCTGCTGATGGTGGCAGACCAGTCAGCTGTGTCTTTGGGCCTTTTCCAAGATGGTGGTTTAAGCTTGAGAGCAGATAAGAAGCCAGACCCTAATTCTTGGTACCAACACACTTTTCCAGTTCCTAGAGAATGATAGGTCAGCTACTAAAGAATGATGCATTCACCCTCACCTTGCCCACTAGGGAATCATTAAGAGGGTGCTCCCGGGAAGTTGGGACAACAGGGTAGTGATTGTGCTCAGCTTTTCCTTCTTGAAGGATGGCTCTGAACCAGGAGCCACTTTTAGATTGTATGCTGAGGCAGACTTGGGATCCTCCTTTTCCCCACTACTTCCAGGGGGTCTGGGTTCCCCAGGGGCCTGCTTGGAGATCAGTCCACCCCTATGGATGGATGGACAGAGCGTAAACCCAAGTGAAGAAATCAAAATACCATCAAGAATGATTAGAAAAAGCAAGGCCTCCGGTGCCCTTCAGCTGTCCCCCCGGGCGCTTTCCTGCAGCATCACCAGGGCAGCACCGGCTGCAGCATCCACATCCTGGCCATAGGAGAAGGGGAGGGGGAAGGCCTTCTCCGCTTCTTGCCTTAGCACCTCATTTCTGGACAGGGCACTGCCGCTACCAATCACCCGCTCTATACCCCATGCTTTCAGCTGCTGAGATGGCAGCATGGCGTGGATGTTCTGAACGATGCCACGGCATAAAGCTCTGGTCACGTGCCCAAGAGACAGATTCGACGGAGAGATGCTGCTCACAGATGCCTGCTCCTCGGGAAGGTGTCTCTCTCCCAAAAGAGTCGGATTAATGATGAGCGGGGTGTCTGTCTGGGCCAGGGCTGTCTGGATCATCTGGGAATAAATAAGAGTCTCCAAAACGTCCAATCCTATCAAAATAAAGAAAATGTCAATGCAGCCAGTCAGCCCTTGGGTGTTTTCCCTGATGCAGTGAGAACACACATTTCCCAAGTGGGAGGGGACAGTCCATTGTACCCCCCCACCCAGAGGCTCCTTAGCTCAGTGGTGAGAAACAGTGCCGGGCTCATGGGGTCCGACACCTGCAGGAGCCAAGCAGATTTGTGCTGCTCACGTCCCAAACCCAGCGAAGCATTTTTAGACATGAACTAAAAACCTATTGTGTGCCAGGCTCCATGCTGGGATACAAGTCTCCATGGCACCCTGAAGCCCCCTCCCCTGCCCAGCAAAGCCCCCTAAAGGGGTATCCCAGAGCAGTAGAGGCTTGCCTGCTGTGCTCTCTCCAAGGATCTCCAGAGCACACTGTTCTGCTCTCCACCACCATCCTTATGGCAGACGACAGCACCCCCTGCTTTGCTGGAAGGATGCCCTCACTCCTGCCTCCAGCCCAACCCCCATGTTCAGTCCCCATGGCCCCATGACCCCCCCCTTCTTCTTCCTTCACTCAGGTATTCTCATCCCCACCCTCTCTGCTGAGGACTTCTCTGTGCTGTTCACTCAGGCCCAGCCCCTGGCCAGCTTCTACCATGCTCACCAAGTCCAGAGGCCTTCCTGCCTGCCCTCCTCAGTCCTCCTTGACTTCCTGATACCACTCCCACCCCAGTCCCCAAGGGTCTATCTGTCCTCTCCTGGCCCCCCCCCCCCGCAAAGGTCTCATACCTCCAGGCCTCCATCTTTCCCTCAACTCTGCTGCTGGGCCTGGCACGTCGGGACTCTGGGTCTCACCCCTCTCCCAGCCCCCAGCAGCCCTTGCACGTCTCATTGCCTTCTCCTCCGTCACAGCCTCCCCTCTCTGCTCGCTCTACAAGATCCTTCCCATTGCCATCTTAAACCACCTTCTGAATGACACCTACCTCCCAGGGCTGTCCCAAATGCTCTGCCTGACATTCAAGGCCCTCTCAAGTCAAGCATCCCACCCCCTGCACCCCCAGGCTGCCTCCTCTCTAACTTGAAGGCATCTGCCTCCACCTGGGCCAGCTGCCGGGCTACCACCCGTCCTCGAAAGCCCAGCAGGACTTGGGGCACGGAGCAGCAGAGACTGAGGCCCAGGATTCCCTCCAGTGTGACCACTTTCGGCCTCAATTTCTCCATCTTTCGAAATCTCTGTGTCACACTCCTCTAAATGTTTTATCTCTACCAGCCCCTACCAAGGTACTCTGCATGCAGTGGGTGATCGATAGGTATTTGGCAAATGTCAAGCAAGCGAACTTTGCATAGCCATAAAAAGGCTTTACCACCCTCCCCACTGTGTACTTTGGGCCAGGAACTGGCCTCCTGGCAGTTCTTGGCATGAGACCCTCCATCTCCAGATGCTGGGTGTCTGCACCCACAGTGCCCCCTGCCTAGAATGCTTTCTCTCCTCCCCTCTGTCTTTGGGCCTCCCTAGCTTCTGCTGAGTCTCAGCTCAAGTCTCACCTTCTCCAAGAAGCCTTTCCCAGGCCTTTCACTGCTTCTCTCCAATCTGTCCTGTCTGCACAAGGGCTCCCTGAGGGTAGGGACTGCCTTTTGCCTTCCTGGTATCGTTAGCCCAAGCCCAGGGCCTGGCACACAGTATGCGTTCAATTGATGCTCCTCTGCCCCTGGGGGCTGATTTACCTAGATCCGCCATCCACTGAGCCAGCATGGTGACAAACGTGGCCAGCACGTTGCCGCCATTGAGAGACGCAGCGACTCCCAGGTAGGTCCGGTTGAAGTAGGGAAAGTAAGCTACCGGGGCTGAAGGATCAGGGCATTTTGCAGGCTTGAACCCTGGAGGCATGGAGGCTGCCAGCTGCACGGAGGTGCTGATGTTGAGAACTGAACACCCAGAGAAGAAGATGAACTTAGGCCTGGCCCATGACCCTGGGTGGCCAAGGCAGGGCCGGGTGGGGACTGACGGGCTGACCTTCCCTTGCCTTGCTGGGCTAAGTCGCATACTCCGTCGGGCAGGGTGGGGCATGAGTCACGGCTATGGGCAAGGGCAGGGTCAGCTTTCTTTAGATGGAGGCTGGACAATGTCCAGTATGTGAGCAGCAGCTCACATGTGAGGCCAGGCAGGAGTCTAACATGCCACCCAAGCGTGGGTTAGGGTCAAACAAGTGAATGAAAGCCCACTTCCAACGCCCACAAGCGGGCTGGCCCAGGAGGGCCCACAGAATCAAAATCCCCCCCGCCAGCACTGTCTAAATCACATAGTGCAGGCCCGGCACCCTGGGGATCTCATGGCCTAGTTCTTGGAATCGCCTGATTCTGAATCAGCAAGGGAGGTCTGGTCTGGCTGACAGACACACACCAGAGGATGGCACATCCGTTGCCAAATGAGCGGATGGCACCACCGGCAGCCCTGCCCGCTCTCACCTGCGTCTGTGCTCCGGGACATACAGGAATACACAGAACACTGAAGGTCCCCCAGGGCCACACCGACTCTAGTCCCCTGGGGGATGCCGAACCACTGGTGGGCGCTCCACCCTGCTATGGTACCGGCCTCAGCCACATCTGGGAGCAGGTGGGTGGGAAAGCCAGACTCTTCTAAACTGTAAAACAAGGCGGCATCCCCACTGCTGCCTGGGCCACCATCTCCCCTAAAGCAAAACGGGCTTAGGGGACCTAGAAGCTGCACCTGGACCTCCGCCAACCCCAAGGGGAGCTTTTGCAGGCCCGACTGCAGGGAGGGGAGCAGGGGGTCTCCAGGAACCCATCACGGGAGATGGGCAAGAATAAAGCCAAGATGGCACCAGGGCGTCAGAGACCCGAAGCCTGCCGTGAGAACAGGGGCCAGCCAGCCGAGCACTCGGGGTAGAAGGGTAGCCACAGCCTCCCCTTTCCCAGGTGGCCTGCTATCCACACCCTCGGCAGCAGACTCCAAGGGGTGCCAGAGACTCACATGCGGGAATTCCAGCTTCGGCTGTCAGTGTTGAAGTATCCCCAGCTGGCTGCGTTGTGATCAGACATGAGGGGTCTCTGCAGGCCACACAGCATGGCCACCACATAGTCTTGTATGGTGCCTGCTGCACTATATGGCTTCAGGAACTCGGGGCTGTTGGCAAAAACAAAAACCACATGGCCTGCCACCCAGGGGTCTGAATCGGAGCCAGCACCCCCCAATCGCTGCTCTATGGGGTCAGTCACTGGACACTGCCGCCAGGGCCAACGTGGCAGGGCTTCCTGAGCTCTGACCCATGCTTGCAGGGTGCGGACAGAGGTCCTGAGAGCTGATGCTGGGAAAGCAGCGCAAGGCAAAGGGCAGTGGAAAATGAGCCTTGCCTCTCTGCCCTTGGGGCCACAGCAGGACACCCCGACAGGGGGGTGAGGAGATGAAGGGAAAAGAAAATCCTTCCAGAGATGAGGAAGCTCTTTGGCCTCGGCCCCCGGTGGCGAGGAAGTTCCGCTCTGGGGCCTTGGGACCTACCTGTGGCGCGAAAGCCAGTAGATGGTGGCAGAGCCAAAACCCGTCGCCACACTGAGGTGGGACTCGGGCTGCGGGAGGGACTCCAGGAAGCTGTTGGTACAGCGGCCATCCTGCCAGGTAATGAGACGGCTGACCTGCTGCGGCTCAAAGATGCCATGGGGGCCATTCTCCGTCCAGGAGCAAGCTGAAAGGAGCCACGTCCCCGGACACTCAAGGCCTGATATGACACGGGCCACACCCCCGTCCCACCTCCTAACGTTGCCCTCAGAGCTGCCTGGTTGAGGACGTCGCTGCTGTCGGGACGATGGCCAGAGGACTGGGCCTCACGTCAGGTCTCAGACACCAGACGGGGCCCCAGCGGTGGGAACCTGGGCTGATCTCTTCCTTGCTCTCAGCCTGTTTCCTCAACTGCCAAATGGGGTAAGAGTGCTGTTGGGAGGCTGGGCAGGTACCCAGCACAGTACCTGGTACACAGTACGTGCATAATCAATGCTCGTGGCTGCAGACTACATAGAGTGGGGGAGGGTGAAAAGGGCCTCCTCAGGGCTAACACCTAGAGGGAGGAGGCAGGATGCCTGAGCAAGGGCAGCCAGAGGTCCTGGGAGGGACCATGGCCACAGGCAGAGGCCTGACGGTCAGGTGGGCAGCCTGGGGATGCACGTGTCAGGGTCTGGAACCAGGCCCAAAGGTCCCGACCCTGCAACGCCCCAGCTCCGTCCCAAGAGAACCCAGGGGGAGGGGCCCAGCGTGCAGAGAGGCTTGGCACAGCCGGCCCCATAGGCAAAGCTGCCTGAACCCCTCCCTGATCACCGGCCCAGGGGTCTTTGAGCAGAAGCGCTGGAGGCCTGCCTCATGACTCAGTCGCCATATCACAGCTCCTGCAGTGCCGACCTTGGCCCTGGGAGGAGTGACCAAGACTCCCCCGGAAGAAGATGAAACTGAGGCAGAGAGGGGATGTGACTTACAGTTACCGGGGTCGAAGGCTGCCCCGGCCTCAAGGCCAGGGCTTGCTTCCCTGTCCCGTCCTCCCCCCCAACCGCCCAAGCTGTGACCTAGCTTTGAATCAGATGCCCTTGAGGGAGGCACCAAGCAGCAACTGACCCAGGACCCAGACTGGCCTCTGCCCCCTGCCCTTTTCAGGGGGGCTGCCACGGAATTTCTCAGCGCTGGAACAAGGGCCCTTCCCCCTGGGGCGACAGATCAATTACCTTGGTGGCTTTTCCAAAACATGACCCCATGCATCTGTCCCGACACGCCGATGCCACGGACACTCTGCAGCTGCCACATGGGGAGAGCCCTGAGACATTCACTCAGAGCCTGCAGGATTCTGTGCACGTCCTGTTCCTGGCCCTGGAGATACCGGGACCGAGCCACGAATCACCAAAAGGCCCCGCACAAGGGGCTCAGCTCGGCGGTCCTCGAACCCAACACAGAGCAGCGGTGCCCAGATCCAGGAGAGACTCCGAGGTGTACACGTGAGTACGGCACACGTGGGCACGCACAGGCTCACGCGTGAGCACAGACCCACGTGGCAGATGCAGGTACGTGTGTGAGCACAAAGACACAGGTACATACATGAGCACAGACACAGGCATGTGCGTAAGCACAGACACACATGGGCACACGCCTGAGCACACACACATGGGCACACACACACTCTCTCTCTAGCAGGATGGCACCTCCCGAGCAGAGAGCCTGGGACGGGAAGGAGGCCCAGTTTCTCTGACTCTCACGCAGCTCCCGCTCCAGGGGGGTGTGTGTGAATTGGGCAGAAGGCAGGGTCTCAGGGACCCAGAAAACAAGGAAAATGGAGGGCATATGCTAAGAACCAAGCAGCCCTGAGGCAGTCTCTCCCTTCTCCCCCCTCTGCTCTTTTCACGAGGTCACCTCTACGAGGGACAGCGTGGGACCCCCAGAGAACTTGGAATGTCAAGCATTTCAAAAGCACCTACTACACGCCTGGCCCTATGCCAAGGGGCAGGGCAATGTCAGAAACAAAGGTCCCTGCCCACCAGGTGCACGCCAATGACCATGCCCCCAGATGTATCTAGGGCAAAGGATGGGGAACCTGGGGGGGGGGAACCACTCAGTGGGGATCCAGAGAGGCTTCTCGTAGAAACCATGCACACAACAAGTGCTTACTGAATGCTTTGTTCATTCACTCAGGGAGAGGCCAGACTGGGGGTCAGCCAGGGGAGATTCAGTAAGCCCCGGAGCTGACGAGGTCACCAAGTGGAAGTAGAGGCTTCTTGGGCTTTTGGGCCTGGACTGGCTGGTCATAGACAAAAGCACAGAGCCCTGGGGCACTCCACCAGAGACCTCCCCTCCAAGCAGCCCCTCCACTGCAAACCCAGGGCATCGTCTCCCAGGAATGGGGTGGAAGGCGGAGAGCGCAGTCACCCATCTCCACTGCAATCCTCATGGGAACACGGCACGTGGCTGGCCTGGCAGCACCTGTGGGGGAGGGGGAAGGCCCGCCGCCTCCTGGCCCTGGTGCTCCTCCTTTCTCCGCCTCCAGCTTACGTGACTCACTTGCCTGCTCCAGGCTCTTCCGGGCGCGATGAAGCACCTACACTGGGCCAAGAGTGTGGACAGCCGGCCACTGCATCTTCTCATTCTTCCGCTGGTTCCTCTGGGCTGGGAGTTCCAATTCTTCAGGGTCTCTCCCAGAGAACAGTGCTTCTCACGAACAGGGACTCTGCCTCCCACATGGCCCGGCCCTGAGAAAGCACTCCCTCGGAGAAAATCGAGCCCACTGAGCCACACACGATGGACGCTGAGCTCTCCTGACTCCACAGCAAGGGTCACAGTGCCTCACGGCTCCCTCGTTGGCCGGTGGCCCTCTCTGAGCCTGTCTCCTCGTCTGGAAAGGCCCCTTTCCCCTCTCAGTTCAGGACGTGAGGAAACCAAAAGTGATGTTACATCTGACTCAGGTATTCAGTGATGGCCGGTCCAGGTGCCCCACGAGCCACCTCAAAGCAGTACGTAGTCTCTCCACATCTCGCCACCCGCGCACACTGAAGGGAGGCCTGCAGGGTGCCGGCCGTTAGTCCTTCACCAATGCCCAGCACCGCCCATCGGCTTCCCTCAAGCTAGCCCCGCATCCCAGACCTCGGGCCAGTCCCCTTGTTTTCCATCAGTGACACGACCTGTTCTCTGCTCTCCTGTGCTCCCCAAACCACACGAAGGCCAGGAAGCCCCATCTCATGGTCTCTGGCTGAACACGTCGAGTCGAGACACCCCTGGCATCAGCAATGACTGTGCTTGGAACTTTGTGCCTTGGTTTACCTTCGTTTCAATCGCGTGCACACATCTGTGCTTTCGAGTACCTAATGAATACTACTTTCTAAACGAGAAGCCCAACCAGATCTTGGGGACCATCCAAGCCCCCAGAGCTTTCATGGCTGGTTATCAGGCAGGCTAAAGGGGCAGGACCTGTGAAGATCCTCTCTCCAGGGAGACTCCAGCACATCTGCCTCGGTGGGAGATGACATCAAACCCTTCTCCCATCTCTTGGGCGTCCCAGATCCTGCCGGTGCCTCACACCATCCACCTGCTGGCATGGCCAAACGTCCACAGCTGCGCCAGGAGCATCTGCTTTGTCGGCCACTGTGTGATCTTAACTCTGCTCCCACCTGTCTCCTCTGCACCCCCCAACACAAGCTCGTCCCCCACCCTGACTCTTTTGACAACAACCTCCTCCAGGCCCCAGGATGGTGCTGGGGACAGGGGCCACCCCTGCCAGACTGGAGTCCTTCCCCTTGACGCATGCCAGCCAGTCACTGACCCTCACCAAGAAGTTACCAGCTAGCAGGCCAAAGTCTGGGCAATCAGACCAGGAGCTCCTCTGGGGCATCTCCTGGCCCTTGGCACAGCGCGGGCACAGGCTCACGTCCCTGGTCGACTTCCAAGGGCCCAGCGCTCTGGCCCCCCTCCTGAGGGGGCTTCTCTGGACCCTCAATGGGGGCAGAGGCTCTTGCCTGGGGCTCACTCTCCCCCCAGGTTTCCCTGGTAGCTCCATGTGTTTCATGCGCCACATTTCCAGGCATGTGAGCCCCAGGGCCCTCTGTGCCTCTCACTCACTCCCTTGCAAGGCTGTGAGCCCCCAGAGGAGGGTCTGGCCAGCTCACCTGCCAGACGCAGTAGCAAGCATGCACCTGGGAGAACATGGGCAAAGAAAATCTCCCCTCCAGGACCTGGGTCCTGGGCGCAGCAGCAGCAGCAGCAGCAGAGATGGGATCCCCCCTGGAGCCCAAAACCAGAGCAGAAACTGCAGAAGCAAACAAAGCTGGGACAGAGGAGGCCTGGCCTCTGAGGATGGGTCAGGCAGGGCAGTGAAGTGACCCTCCATCTCCCACCTCTGGGCCTTTGCCTCGGCTGTGCTCGACGCCTACCCCACCTTCCTTCCCTGAAATCCCCGGGGGCCCTTCCCCACAGGACGTGGGTCCTCTGCAAGTGCTCAGACATTCCTTCGGGTCAGCCCGGCCGACTTGGATTTGGAGCTGGGCGGTGACTGGGGCAAGAGGAGGCACAGAGAGGGAAGGCTCGAGAGGCCCCGCCCCCAGGGGCCCAGAGAGACCAGGCCTCGCAGGGGGGGAGGGGGAGGGGGACGGGAGCAGGACAGAGGGGGAGGGGCATCCGCTCACCCGTGGCCCGGCCTCCCCGCTCGGGGACACGTCGGCTCGCGTGGCCCGGCTGGCGCTGGCCGTGGGAACCAGGGGCCTGCCATGGGGTCCGGCCTGCAGCAGGACCGCCTTCACGGACGAGGTGCCCAGGTCGAGGCCCAGCACGAAGCCGTCTCGGCCGTCGCCGCCCGCAGCCGCCATGGTACCAAGCGGGCGGAAAAGCCGGCGCAGGCGCAGACAGGCCGATGACGGGCGGCGGAGGCGCAGACTGCCCCACAGGGGGCAGGATCCGCCGCTTCCGGCCCGCCCCTGCGTCGGGGGCGTGGGGACGGGGCGGGGCGCTGCGGTGCTTCTCTCCTCCCATTGGCTGGCCGGCCGCGGGGCGGGGCCGGGCCTTCACGTCAGGCCAAGGCGGCCCCCCAAGTAGCCGCGGGGCAGCTGAGCTAGACCTTCCTGCCCTGGTCACGGGCCGTTCGTTTCTCTACCTCGCTTAGTTGCTGGGTGAGTGGATGCAGCCTGCGGCTCCGGCCCCGCGAGGCCCCTTCGGACCGCCGGACGGAGCTCCAGGGCGGGAGGGAGAGGGGATGGAGTGCCTGGCGTCGGGCTGGCGTCTAGCCTATCGGGGGCACCGGAGCCTGAGTGCGATGGGGGAGGGGGACAGGCGGGCCCCGCGAGGCCCCTCTGGACGACTGCCGGAGCTCCAGCCTGGCGGGGCTCCGGAGGCAGGAGGGAGAGGGAGAGGGGATGGAGTGCCTGGCGTCGGGCCGGCGTCTAGCCTGGCGGGGGGCACCGGCGCCTGAGTGCGGTGGGGGAGAGGGGCAGGCGGGCCTCGGGCTCCATCTCTAGCCTCCAGAAGTTTGCTCCTCACCGGCCCAGCGGTACTTGGAACGCAGCTGCAGCCCAAGAACCCTCCAGCCCAGCTCACTCCACCCCATTCCCCTGATGGTTCTTAAGACCTGGGAGCTAGCCCTTATAGAGGAAGGGGCTCGGGCGGGGTGGGGTGGGGCGGGGCAGGGAACCCAATATAGAGAAGGTGGGGAGGGGGTGATGACCTGGAAACCCCCCCTTACAAGGGAGGGGGCTCTGGGTGTGGTAACAACCTTAGATACCTTCTCTTATAAGGGAGGAGGCTCAGGGGGAGGGGACAACCCTGGACCCCCTTATAAGGGAGGGGGTGCTGGGGGCTAACAACCTCGGACCCCCCTTACGCGGGGGGGGGGGGACCTCCGGAAGGTCTCTGAGCTTGCTTCCATCATCGGGGCTCCCTGACTCCTTAAATTCCCTCCTCTAGGCCAGAACATGCCCAGGTGGTCATGGTCATGGTGGCTCCTCTTGGTGTCTGAGCTCACTCGAGTGTGTGGTGAGTGGCTGGGGGCTCCCCTCAGTCAGTGGGTCTAAGGATGAGCCAGGATCGGCAGGAGGGGTCAAGGCCGCCCCAGCCCCGAGTCTGGAGGACCCCGGGTTGTCTGGGGGGCATCTCTTAAGTCCAGGAGGCGCTGCCTCTGGCTGCCTTCTCGCTGACCCCACGTACCAGTCCTCAGTTATCTGAGGCTGTTCTTCTGCCAGGATAGCATTGAGCTTTCCCCCTCCCCCCTTTCCTGGGTGCATTTTGAGGATGTAACTGGAAGAGGGGGGTCATTGGGTCGAGTTATGGTGCCTGGCCCCTTGGTCCCTAAGGCTGACCAGGGTGGGCGGGGACACACATACACCAGAGCCCATCAGGTCCCCATCCACCCTGGTCCACATGACAGGAGGAGAGGAGTCCATAGAGATGATGAAGGTTATCTGGGCAGAGGCTTCTGTCTGTGAAGGCATGGTCACTCAAGCCTTGCAGGAAAACCCCGGGCAGAGAGCTGAGGGGCCTCCCCACTACCAGACAGTTGTCTGGACAGCAGGGGAGAGTGGCCTCTTTAACATGAGGTTTCCTCCGGGGACATTGACCAAAAACTTTCTGCAGAGAATGTAGGGGCCAGCCCCCTGAGGTGGGCTGAGGGATCGGGCTGACAGTGAGCATTTGGGGGTGGGTGGGGGGCAGAGGCGGTGATGCTGGAACATGGGTCACTTGGGAGGAAGGGGGTGAGCCTTGGTACCATACCAGCAGGGGAGAGTGGGGGGTGTGGCCAGTCTCATGGGGGGGGGGCTTCTCCAGCATTTCTGCTTCTCTGGGTTGGCTTGTGAGCTGCTCTGCTAAAGAAGGCCAGAAAATGGGCCAGCTGGCAGTTCTGGAGGCCCCCCCCCCAGACTGATCACGTGGTCAGCGTGATTACAGCCCAGGCAGTGGACCCTGGCCTGCCCAGACCAGAGGGTCCCCTCCTTAAGCCCTGGTTGCCCCGAGGGTGACCTTTTGGGGCCAGCTGGCTCTTCCTGTGATTGAGCCACGGCTGGCTAGGCATACACTGTCCTTCCTCCCTGGTCCCCCCCACTCACCATGCACCCTGAAGGTTGGGGAGGGGAGCAGCGGCTGGCCTAGCTTGGAGTTGTAATCGCTGCTTATCTGCTCCCATCAGGCGCCACTGTGAGCCTCGCTGCCCCTCTGATGGTGAAACTTGAGAATGGTGACTCCAGAAATGTCACCATCACTCTGGGGTGAGTGTGTCAGCCCACGCTTGGACCCTCCTCCTCAAGGAGCAATGGTGTGTGTGTGGGTGTGAATTGTGAGTGTATGTGTATGTGTGAGTCTTGCCTCTTTTTGGAGCACATGTGTTTGTCAGTGTGCGTGAGCACATAGAGGTGTGCAAGCCTTGTGTATTGTTGGGGGTGTCAGTGTGTGTGGAGCATGAGTGTGTGAGGATGGGTGAGTTGTAAAGGAGTGGACCAGGAAGCTGCGGCCCAGCCTTCGGGCCACGTGTTGTCCAAGGGTTGGGGGGGCAGGAAGGGAGTAGGTCCTCTCCTGTCCCCCCCCTCCCCCCAAGCCTCACCTGCCCCTTGCACAGCCCCCTGGACCACCGGCTCTTCCTTTTGTCCTGTCGTGCCCCACCCCCACCCCCTCACATGATTGTGTTCTGTCACCCCCCACAGACAGGTCAGCGCAGGAGAGCCTGGACACCGTCTCAGGGCTAGGTGTGAGCTTTGTCAGGGCTGCAACAGAGGACTTTGAACTTGGAGGGGGTGGTGGGGGGAGCCAAGATGGACCGGTGGGGTAGGGCTGGCTGGGGACCCCCCCTCCTCCATGCCATGGCCATCATTGCCCAGCTTGGGCCCTCTGAGCAGTCCCAGCGGGCACCCCAGCCGGTCCCCCTGCCCATCCTCCTGTATCACGTCTGTCTACCTACCACCCAGGCTCCTCCCCCACACCTCTGAATGTCGCCCCTGAGGTGTGGGCAGGGGGGCTCCCTCCTCCTCCTGCCTGACCTGACTGGCCCTAACCTTCCTCCCTTCCCACCTCCTGAGGTTCCAGAGGTGACCTTGCTCTCGTCCTTCCCAGGGCTCCACTGGACGTAGCCTCAGTGTTAATGCTGGACGTCCTCTACGTTTCCAAAAATAAAACCATCCTCGAGTTTCCTCATGAAGTAAGCGGCTCGTCGGCCGTGGTGGGGAGGATTCCTGGGAGCTCCTCCCTTGAGGCTGGGAACGGGGGGCTCCCTCGCTCTGCACCAGGGCTGCGTGGGCAGGGCTCTCTGCTGCCCCTCGCAGGTCGTGGTGCCAGCGTGGCAGAAGGCTTTCTTTTTCTCTGTGACCGGGCGCGACGTGGGCCAAGTGACTCTGGGTCTGAGCTTGGACCGCTCCAACCAGACCAGGTGAGCATGGCTGGAGCGGCCAGGCAGGGTAGGCAGAGAAGCTGCCCACCCTCGCCCCCTCACCGCCGCATCCTGATCCCCTCACAGGACCCCCGTCCACTTCCTGGTGTTTCGCAGCCGTGCTCTGGAGTGGCTCAGCCAGGTCATTGGATGGATCTACTTTGTGGCCTGGAGTGTCTCATTCTACCCGCAGGTGTGCGAAAATTGGAGACGCAAAAGGTAAAGGGGGGTGGGCGGGCCACTGGCCTCATCTCCCCAGGAGGAGGGGCGACCTGGCACGTCTGGGCTGCGTCTAAGGGGAGTGAGCGAGTGAGTGTGCTTTACTGCGGACCCTGGGCCTTGCTGAGCCCGTGAGAGGCTGAGGGGGCAGCAGTGGGGCTGGAAGCCCCTACCCAGGGAGGCGGCATCATGCTGGGGTTGTTGGGCCTCAGGCTTCCCAGCCCTAGCCAGGTGCTCACCCTGGTTTGTGCCCTAAAAGCTTGGCTGGGGTGGCCAGGTGCCATGGCCTAGCCCTTGAGCAGAATTCCAGGCATCGGGCCTCTGCCACCCATCGGGGTTCTGTTATCAGGGAAAGGTGGGAGAAATGGCCAACCCCCTTCCATGTCGGCGAGGCCTAAGAGGTCAGTGGGGAGAGCCAGGACACTACCATGTAATCTTTTAGAGATGGGTTTATGCAGTCACCAAAGGAAGAAGGGAGCAGTGTCCCCCCAACACACTCACATGCACATGCACACCCCTGCTGCCATGTTGGAAGGAGGGATCCCCAAACTTGGGGAGAGAGGGCCCTAGAGAAGGTGCCTGAGCCTCGGGGTGGGGTGGGGGTGACCTAGAGAAGGACCCTGCATCTCAGGGGGGCCCTAGAGAAGGTCCTGAGCCTCAGGGGGGGAGGGGCTAGAGAAGGTCCCTGCATCTTGGGGGCCCCAGGGTGGCTGGCCTCCCTGCCTGGCCCTGTGGCAGGGCGGTGGGGAGGGGCTGCTTCTCACTAGTGACTGCTGGCCCTGTGGGTCACACAGCCCATGATGGGAGCTGGGCTGGCAGGCCACAGATAGACTCCTGCCCTCTTGGCCTCTGCCCCCCGACCTGTCCTGCTCCCGTGGTCAGGCTCTCTACATTGGGCCCTTCCACAGAGGGGGCCTTCCTGGGTTTCTGAAGCAGAAGTGGGGAGTGCTCTGTGGGGGCGTGGGTGGGAGGGGCAGCCCCTGGGCTCCGGATACGAGGGTCTCGGCTCATTGTTTTGCAGCGTGGTCGGCCTGAGCTTTGACTTCATCGCCCTGAACCTCACGGGCTTCATAGCGTACGCCGTGTTCAACGTCGGCCTCTTTTGGGTGCCCTACATCAAGGTGAGGTGTGAGGTCTGCCCTCCTCGGGCCCCGGTCAGCGCTACCCTGCGGCTCACCGCTTCTCTGCTCTGGCCCCTCAGGAGCAGTTTCTACGCGAACACCCCACAGGAGTGAACCCCGTGGACAGCAATGACGTCTTCTTCAGCCTTCACGCTGTGGTCCTCGCCCTGGTGGTCATTGGGCAGTGTTGTCTGTACGAGGTGGGCGAGGGGTCGCTGCTGTTAGGGGAGGGTCTCCTTAGCGTGGCCTGAGGCTGGTCTCTGGCCTGCCTCAGAAACAGGAGTCACAGCCCCAGGACAGGAGAGGTGGGGCAAGGACCTTGGCTAGGCAAACCCACGAGGTCCAAGAGGACCAGGAGGATGAGGCCCACGGTGTGCCCTCAGGAGCTCGCTGGGGCATTGGCGTGTGCCTCATCGGCTGGTCCCGGCTGGGCTGGAGGCTGCTCGAGGGGGGCCGCCCTCTCTGGGGATTTCCAGGTGCCAGCGGAGGCAGCATGGGGCGCGGGTGGGGCCGAGGAAACAGAGACAAGGGTGAGGTTGGGCTCCCCCACGTCCCTTCTGCGCGAGGCCCCCGTCCCCGCTCAGCAGCGCCCCGCTCTGTGCCCTCAGAGAGGCGACCAGGCGGTGTCCCGGGCCTGCACGGGCTTCCTGGTGCTGTCCTGGCTCTTTGCGCTCGCCGTGATGCTTGCGGCCACTGCGGGGGCTGTCAGCTGGCTGCAGTTCCTCCTCTGTTTCTCCTACATCAAACTGGCCATCACACTCGTCAAGTACTTCCCACAGGTGGGCCCAGGAGTGGGGCAGGACCGAGAGCCTGGGGGCAGGGGGGTCATGGCCCAGAAAGGGGGGGATTGGCAGGAGCCATGGGGAGTCCGAAAGCAGGCACGTGTGCGCCGGCGAGAAGGGGAACGTGAAAGGGGAGGCTTTGGACGTGTCTGGTCTGTGTGGGGGCGTGCCAAGCGGGAAGGGGGCCCTGCCCCGGGGCCGCCGGCCTCCTCACCCTCTCTGTGCCTCTGCCCCTCTGTCCGCGTCCCAGGCGTGCCTGAACTTTCGCCGGAAGAGCACAGAGGGTTGGAGCATTGGCAACGTGCTGCTGGATTTCACGGGAGGCTTCTTCAGCCTCCTCCAAATGTTCCTCCAGTCCTACAACAACGGTGAGCGGCCTGGCGCCCGGCCGCTGCTCTGGGCTGGGGGAGGCAGAGGGCAGGAGCAGCCTCAGACCAGCAGTGCGGGGCGGGCACCAGCAGCCCCTTAAGTGGCTTTTTTCCCCTTTTAATTATTTTTAACATTTTTTTAAAAAAATTCTGAGTTCCAAGTTTCCCCTTCCCCCACCTCGAGAAGGCAAGTGGTAGGTGAGCCGTGGGAGTCGTGCCCCGCAGGACTCCAGAGTAACCATGCTGAAGCAGGAGAAATCCTCAGAGTCAAAGGGAAGGACCCTCAGCGCAGTCTGAGGGGCTGAGGGGCAGAGAGAAGGGAGGGCTTCTCAGGCCTGGGAAGGCCCAGGTGGGAAGGGGGTGGATGCAGCCATCTGCAGGGAGCTGGGCCAGGCCCTGGACACAAACGCTCCAAACGCACAGCGGTGCCTGCTCTCCCGGAGCTCCGGAGGAGGCTGGAGCAAGGCTGGGAGGTGGGCCTGACCCGGCCCAAGGGCCTCATGGACCGGGTCCTCCTCCAGGCAGAGGCTGCAGGCTCTGGGCCTCACTCATGCCCCTGTCTCCCAAGAGCAGCCTGGTGGGTGGCCGTCATGGAGGCTCTGACTACCCTTTGGGAAGACAGTGCTGAGGACTGCTGGTGCCTATTGGGTGCCTACTGTGTGCTGGGCCTGGGGCTGCTTTCTTTACCAGCATGACCTCATTGGATCCTCACAACGCCCCTAGGAGGTGGTGGGTATGGTTATTCTATCCCAGTTTTACAGATGAGGAGACTGAGGCAGACAGCTGCAGGGTCACCCAGCTAGGCCACATCTGAGGTTAAACTTGAACTCAGGTCTTCCTGCCTCCTGGCCACGGCTGGGCCGAGGGAAGGAGGGCTCCCCCGGGGCTCACGTGCCTCCTCTTGCCTGCTCACAGATGAGTGGACCCTGATCTTTGGAGATCCCACCAAGTTTGGCCTCGGCATGTTCTCCATTGTCTTTGACATCATTTTCATCGTCCAGCACTACTGCTTATATAGACAGCCAGGGTACGAGCAGCTCCCCTAGCTCTGTCGGACAGCCCCACCAGTCCCATAGGCCGAGGAGCCACAGCCAGTCCTGTGTCGGCCCTGTTGTCCGGACCGCGGGAACCTTGTCGTCCGACGGATGGCGCTCCTGCCTCTGCCCGCCGGACGTGCCGCCGCGCTCGCTTACTTGCTGGCTCACAGCCAGCAAGTTTTCTGTTATCATAAGCCTATTGGCTGCTGAGATTAAAACCCGCTGATCCTGGCTTGAGAGATGCTTGTGCCCGGGATGATGGGATTGGTGTCTGTCTGGGGTCCCTCCTCCCCCCAGGCCTCCCGGCTCCTCCCAGCGGCCGCCTGTGTACGCGGCACAGAGGCCGCTTTCTCCGAGGACACCTACGCTTCCCCAGTGCTCAGAAATGCCTTTCTTTGTGTTTTGTGTTTTCAAGGCTCTGGCCACCGTTCACAGGTTCTGAGGCGCATTTCTAGTAGCATCGTGCCAGAGGAGGGAGGAGGGAAGGGAGCACAGCCACCCTGGTGCCTGCTGTCTGTCTGTCGCTGCTCTGTCCAAGCATCCCAGCCCAGGGCTCCTTCCTAGCCTGCATGCTGATGCCTCTGCCCGAAGCTGCTAACCAGGCAGGGCCTGGCCTGAGGCACAGTCCCACAGCTTTTTGGGGGGAGGCGGCTGTCTTACCAAGCTTTAATCAGCTGCCCCTGCATGACCACACTCCCAAAAGCAGGTTTTTTGGGGGGTGGGGAACCTCGGGCTCCACAGACATGCACACACACGCACGCACGCACACCAGACATCCACACACACCATCCACACACCCTCAGTGCACCCAGCCCACGTGCCTGCCCACCCCTCTGTCCTTCCTGCTCCACGTGGGTGTAAGGCTGTGCCCTTCCCCGGGCCCTGGGTGGCCACCGGCCCCCGGCTCTCTGCTGTCTCCCTGTCCCCCTCCTGCTTCTGCTTCAGGAAGCTCTGCAATGATGGTGGTGGTTTGCGGACATGATTTTTTTCTACTTCCTATGTATTTTATTTTTAAAAGATCAGTGTAAGAAATCTACCGTTTTAAATTAAAACTAACAGTTAATTTTTCATACTATTGGCCAATGATCTGGTTTTAACAGTCTGGTTAACCCTTGTCACCAGCAGCTGGACCCTTTCCCTCCCCACCCCCATTAACAGGTGAGGAAAGTCCCATGCACCCCCAGCAGAGATCTCTGCTTTGGCCACTTGATTAGAAAAGAAAACAGCTTACTAAACTCTCCTCATCAGAACCGGGCCACCTGCCTTAGAACGAAGGTTTTTTTGTGATTTCCGGTTTTAAGATTCTGATTTCACCCTGGCACAGGGCAGGAACTCAGGCCCTGAGAAGGAGGCTCTGACCATTTCTCTCCCCAGCCTGTCCAACCCCAGCTGCCAGGGCAGTCAACCCTACCCCCAATAACTCCAAACCCTGATGTCAGATAAAAAATGTCTCGCTTGTGAATGAGGAAAAATACAGGAATTCTAGCTTTATTTATTGAGTATAAGAAGCAAAGATACAAGAGGCAGTAATAAAGATAAGGCCTGCAGGCTTGTTAAAAGATTTATTCCTACCAGGTTAGCATTTTCAAAATTCAATAGAAATTGCTACATATAAAATTTTAAGGAAAAATACAAAAGGGACCCATCATCCCAGGAGTGGCAGCTTCATAGGCTGGGGGTGGGGGTGGGGGGCAGGGCAAGGACAGGGGTGCTGCCTGGAGACTCCTGAAATCTCTCAGGAAGGGGTCAAAGGCTGGAGGTGGTGGGCTGGCAGCTGCTGCCCCCCCTTCCACAGTGGGGGTGCCTAACCTTGGGAAAAGTCCTGCTGTGCTCCTGGGTGGGGAAGCCCATGGGGAGCCCTGCTCAGGGAGAGGCGCTGGGACAGGGCAAAGCATGGTGAGGGCAGCCCCAGGGTCCTGGGCCTTGCCGCAAGAACAGTCCTGGAGGTGAGCCCAGGCAGGCCAGGGCAAGCCACGCCAAGACGCTGCAGGGAGGCCTTAGAGATGGCGGCACTGGCCCCACTGCTCATCGATGGAGCACAGCGGCGTCCGTGTCAGTCCATGTGCCCAAGGTGAAGAGGGATGGGACCCCAGGCCCTGCCGAGTCACCCCGACTCTCTTTGGCTCACTGCATTGATGGCAGGACTCCCCAAAATACAGGCTTCACTGGGCACCAACCTGCCCCCCGCGTGGTGCTGGGTCCAGCCTCTGTCCTCCGCCCACATCTCCCCAGGGCTCAGGGGATTGGGGACGCGCCCCACCCACGCGGAAGGTGGCCTTACGCCAGCATGGATTGCTGCACCGCCTTCTGCAGGCCCTGCCGTGTGACCAGCAGCCGTACCACCTCCTCGCTCCTCTTGGTCAGTCTTTTCCTGGCTTGGTCATGGGTCACCATGGTCATGTCCCAACCATTCACCTGTGAACCACAGACTTGTTCCAGCCTTTCTTGTGACCCAGAACACCCACCTGGGGGCCCCCCGAGGCCCGGTCTGGCCCACCTGGACACCGTGTGTCCAGGGCATCCCCTGCTATCCTGGCAGAGCTTTCAGGATCCTCCTGGGCCTGAGAAGACCCACTCCCACGAGTGCAGCCCTCAACAGACTGAGACCCGCCCCTGCCTACCCACTCTGGCCTGAGAAGGGCCTCCCTCAGGGGCCTATAGGGTGGCTCAGGGAGGCTCCTGGGAAATGGTGTGAGGATGCGTGAGCCAGGGAGGGCCTCCTCAGAGGCTGCCAGCCTGCTAAGGTCAGTCCCCAGGTGGCACTTCCCACCCACCCCCCAGGCCCAAGAGGATGGAGTTCAGAAAGAGGGTGCCACACGCTATGGGGCAAACGACTTTTGGTTCAATTTGGCTCAATCTCTCCTCCCTGGAGGCCCAGGGTCTGAGTCCGGCTTGCCTACTCAGCACTGAGTGCCACGTAGCCTCAGGGGAAACAGGGTCAGAACCACTTAGAAAGGAAAGTACAAGTCTGCCTTTTCGCCATGAGGCAAGAAGGTGCCCCAGAAGACGGGCAGGGATGGCATGGACGTGGCTAACGGTTTTAACCATTCTGATCTGGTGGCTGAGTGGAGCTGGAAAGGTATTTGCTCCAAACACTCGGTAAGAAGGGTGGAAGGGGAGGATTAGGGATGAGTCAGGGAGGCCAGGGAGGGCTGTGGAAACAAGCCGAGGAGCCCACCGGGGGCGAGCTGCATTTGAGGCGCTAGGGGGTGGGATGTGTGCCTGTGCCCAGGAGACAGGACTGCAGAGATAGTCAGGAGAAGGGGCTCAGCCCATCCACACCGGGGAGGCCCAGGAGGGCCCCATACCGGGACCACTCTGGGAGAGGCATGGAGGGGTCTGAGGGAGCCAGGGAGGCGTCACAGGAAGAGTGACTTCCTCCCTGTGGGATGCCACTGGCCCTGGGGACAGGGCCTGGTACAGTGCCTGGCACAGTACAGGCCCTTGAGAAATGGCAGTGTGCACAGAACGCTGGACCTGGGGTCAGGGAGACCCGAGTTCAAATCCAGCTTCAGACACTGGGTAGCTGTGTGTCCCTGGCCAAGTCACTTCACCACTACCTGCCTCAGTCTGTTCAACCATAAGATGAGGATCCCAACAGCACCGCCCTCCCGCACCTGCAAGGCCCTTGGGATGCAAGCTGGACTGATGCATTTAGCTGGGACCGCCCCAATGTTCAGAGGGGTGAGTCTGGAGTGAGCCCATGGGCCACTGCTCACGGCCAGGGATCCAGTGATGAATAACCCTCCCTCTGCCCTCCTCACCTGCATTATCTTGTCTCCGATCTGGAGGCCGGCCACTTCTGCAGGGCCCCCTTCTGACACCCTGGTGACATAAATGCCCTGTGAGGGGGAACAATGTCATTGCAGGACCATCCAGAGGCAGGGTCCCCCCTTCCCCCTGCTCCATGGGCCCAGGAGGGCACGGAACCCCTTCCAGAGCCAGGGAACCCCAATGGAGTTAAGGCCCGATCAGGAACACAGGTTAGGAACCGAGGATGTCTGGGGCCACGAGGTGGGGAAGACGAAGTCCCAACTCCACAGCGTGGGCCCTCCTGGTCCCTGAGAGGCGGCCGCCCTCACCTTGTCTGTCTTATCTTCTGAGAAGAGGGGTTCTGCGCGGGGTCCTGATCAATGCCCCCTCCGATGCTGAATCCAAGAATCAGGTTTTCACCTTGGCGCAGTTTGTGAATTTCTACTCTTTGCTAGTTAGAAAAAAGGGGGAAAAAATCCAGTTACCGCCCAAAGCTGTCTTTGCAGGGATGATAGGAGGCGTGTGGGCCCTAGCGGTCCTGCCTGCTGGTCTCTCCACATGTCGCAGAAGGAAAGCAGTGGTTTGGACTCAAAAGCTTTTAGCCAAAAGTCTTCAGACCCCAAATTATCCCTGCCAGCTGTCCTCCTGTGGGAGTGTGCATGGGGTGGGCAAGGATTTGGCTTCTGAATCCCCCAGGGCCCAGGCTACAGCTGCCACCCCCCACCCAGGGCCCAGGGCACAGCTGCCCCCTCCCCAATCCAGGGACCAGGCCATGGCTGCCTCCCAGGGAAGGTCCCCCAATCTGAGCTGGGAGGAGGAGTGGTTCTGCTCCTCCCCACCCAGGCGCCTCCCCCTCATCTGCTCCTGGCTCTGTCCCCTCTCACTAAACTGCCTCGTCTGTCCACTTCTCCACTGTTCTTGGCATTTCTTTTCCTTGTTTTCTGGACATCCTTTCCCTGCTTATCTGTGACTCTGTTACTTAACCCCTGCCCCCAAAAGCCTCCCTCTTAGCAATGAAGGTGTGGCCACTCTGAGAACCCACCTCTTGGCTCGTTCCCCAACCCCCCACCCCAAACCACGCTCTGGGGTTGTTGAGTCCTTTCAGGACCGGGAGGGAAGAGGAAGGAAGGAAAAGAGGGAAAAAGGGAAAGCAGGGAAGGAAAGTGGGAGGGATTCTTAAGCACCCTGCTGTGCTAAGCACTTTACATCTGTTATCTCCTTGGTTCCTCACAAGCACCCTGCGAGGTAAGAAGGTGCTACTGTGAGCCCCTTTCACAGATGAGGAAGCTGAGGCAGAGAGCTGACCTGCCATGGGTCGCTAGCTCCCCCCATAGGATCTTAGGCAAGTCCAAGGCCTGGCTCTCAAGGCCTCACGATGACAGTCATACCAGACAGTCTCTGAGGTTCCTCCCTCCCAGCCTAGGGGATGCCAAGGGCTGCTCTCTGGCCCTAAGCCTGCTGGCTGCCTTTTCCCACTAAAGACCTAGAGGCCTTTGGTGCACCCCACAGAGAAATCGTTTTTCCTGCCTGTTTATGGGAGAGAAAGGTTACAGATGTGTCAAACATTAGCTTTAGAGACAGGAGAGGCCTAGAATGAAAAGCCATGCGGTCAGGCATGCTGCCCCGTCCAGTGCAGAGAGCCTCAGCTCTCGACCTGCAGGCCCTAGGCTCACTCCCTGCCTGCGTGACTGGCCTCGGGCCTTCGGCATCAGTGTCTCTGTCAGAAGGTAAGGAGGCTGCTCGTGCCTCGCTAGGACCCGGTGAGCACTCATCCCTGCCCACGTTGTCCATCCTCAGGAGGACAGAGCCCACCCCCTGCACTGGCATGAGCTGGCACGGCCAGAGATGAGAAGTCCACCCCACTCCCCACAGAACTGCTTGGGGCAGGGGCCCGAGGAGACAGAAGCTTGCGGAGCTGAGCCAGGGCTGTGCCCAGTCCCCCAACACGCAGGGCTACATGCCCTGAACAGATTCTGCTGCATTGCAGGGGGCCTCTGCTGCCCAGGACAGGGAAGGGGACAGGCCGGGATTTCCCTGGGCCTCGCTCCTATCATAAGTGGGTGAGGAGGTGCACTCCTGCCCCAAGGGTGCAGGCCAGGGAAAGCCCTTCATCAGCCCCCAAATGCCCTGGGGTCCCTGCTGAGTCACATTGCAGGCACCTGCTTCTAAATCTGCCTTGGCTACACCAGCGGGGAAAGAGCCCTTAAGGGGCCCCAAGGGACGGAGCAGGCAGCAGAGGGATGGACTGATACAGACGGATAGATGGACAAATGGCTTCTCTTCTCAGAAAGCCAGGCTCCAGCAACATCCCACTGAGGCCTGTCCACCTGGAACATCTCTGAGTGCCAGGTGCCAGGAGCCACACCCTCCCCCCAACACACACATACACACCAACACCCATTGCAGCACATACTCCCACATGCACACAGAGACACACAGACACACCCCACCATCTGCCCCCTTCTCCTTAACAGTTAAACTGCTGGCACTTCCTGGCTGTTTCCCTATCCCTTGGGCACAGCCCTGTCAATTCCACTTGCACCCCAGGTCCCCAGAAAGCCTGTCCCGGCCCCCTGGATTCCAGCGCCCTCCCCCCGGTGCCGCCCTCCCATGGCTGACCACGGCTGACCAGCCATCTGGGTTGGGGTGAGTCCTGGAGGGCATGGGCCATGTTTTCTTGGTATGCTGACCCTCAGCACAGTGCCTGGCATTCAGTTGGTGCTTACTAAATGTTTCCTTTCCCTTCTCTGTGCCCAAAGCCCCAGACAACAGGACACCAATTCTAGTTGGGTGAGAGCTTCACCATGGGCTGTTGGGCAGGAATTTTTTCTGACTTGGTCTTGAAACCTTGCAGGAGAGGAAGTGGGGGGGACATACAGCATCCCCTGTTGACCATCTGCCCCCCCAAGTAGGCCGAGGAATGGCATGGGAACAGGCTGCTACAAGGCACAGGAGGAAGGAAACCAGGAAATGGTGACTCATTGTCAGCAAAGGGCTGGAGATCAGCTGCCATTCCAGATTTCTGACTCAGCCCCAGGCAGCCTCCTCCTCCCTCTCCTCAGTTATGCCCTTTGCACCCCGGGAAAGAGAGTGAGGGCCTTGGGGGCCACACCAGGCGCTGCTCCCTGAGATGTCCAGCCTCCGGGCCTTTGCCGCAGTGGGCAAAGGCAAAGCTGTCACTAAGCCACTCTGGCCCTCCAGCATTTCCGTGGTCCCTCCTGCAGTTGCTGCTGCTGTTCAGAACTGGCCGAGCCTTCCAGGCCTGCGGGAGTCAGACTTGGGCCAGGCATTTTCTGACTCTCCCCCAGCTGGCAGGGACCTTTCCTGGTCCCCCCAACCCATCCTGGAGGGATCTCCCGTCCATAGTGGTCCCCATGCCATCTCCTCCTCCTGTCTTTCTCTGTATCTCAGCACCGTGCCTGGCACACAGTGGGTGCTTCACCAATGCCCCCAACCAGTCCTGACTTCCCCAAGTAGGGACACCTTCTTCCAGAGCCAGAGGCCTTGGCAGTCATGAGCTCGCCTCCTCGTGGCCTTCCTGACTCCCAACTGGACAAGGCGGCTTTTACCTCCGAACCGGACAAGGCGTGCCTCGTGAGCTCGGGCCAGGGGGCAGACTCTGGGATGGGCCAGCCGGCCGTCCAGCTCAGGAAGGTCCTGAGACCCTTCTCCCTCTCCCCCTCCTCCTGCAGGGCCCTTGTGCCCCCCACCACAGAACGGGGGACGACGTCCCAGGCTCACCAACGGCCGGGCCCGCCCTGGTGCGTGACCCCCAAGGCTGCCCGGGCTACCCACAAAGACAAAGCGGGGACCACCGGGCCAAGCAGGGAGTGGAAGGAAGACGTGGAGACGAAGAGAGGTCTGGGGGCCAGAGGGGCGGCAGGAGCTGTCCAAACTTGGGGTGAGCGGCGGCTCCCCCCCACTCACCGCCCGCTGGGGTGTGTCGTGCTCCCCTGGCTTGGGGACACCCCCCCCTTGGGTGTCCGGGGGGAGGGGCTTGCCCGCTGGCGCCCCCCCCCGCCCTCGCGGGCACGCACTGGGCAGGAGCCTGCCCCTCCCCCCGGTCTCGGGGGCGCGCCTCCTGTGTCCGCCTCCTCACTCCGCGCCCCGCTTCACGGCGGGGACCCCTGGACCCCTACACTCACCACCACCGCGGTGACCGGCTGTCCGGGCACGTAGGACATCTTGGCTGCGGCTCCGACCCCACCCGGCCCCACCCTCAGAACAAAAGGGCTCGGGCGGCCCCGCCCCTCATGAATCATGCATGAGCTCCGCAGCCAATCACCGAGGAGACCGCTCCTCCCGGGCTCCGCCTCTGGGCTAGCGTTACGGAGCATGCGCAGAGTACCCGGGCGTGGCAGAAGCAGGTGGGGGGGCGCACATGAGTCTGCGCATGCGCCCGGGCCGGCTCTCTTCTCCCGGCAGCCTCAGGGTCAACATGGCGTCTGTGCAATTACCGTCGTCTCTGCCCGCCTGAGGGAACGACGCGGTCACTGCCGCCACCGCCACCCAGACTAGGTACGACCCTCGGGACCCGATACTGGTCCGGGGGCCCCCGAGCTCTTGGGGTGGGGGTGGGGACACGTGTCTGCAAGCCCCCTCCTTCCCCGGGGACCCGTGACCCAGTCGGCCTGGGGTCAGGGGGCTCTGCCTCCCTCTGGAGCCAAGCCTCTAGTGAGGCGGGGCCCTGCCCAGGCCGTTCGGCGTCGTCCCGTCCCCCCCCCCCCCCGGCATTTAGCAGCACGGGGTGGGGGGAGGGGGCCGGACCTGGCACGTGGGGAGCAGCCCGTCCGGCGGCGCATAAACTGGGGCATTCTCGGCCCCCAACCAGTGTAATCAGGCAGGAGGAGAACCCCCCCCCCGCTCCCTCTGGTCCGTGTCTGGCACATAGTAGGGACCGATCAGACCAGCACGACACAAGGGTTTCCCCCCGCCCCCTCCTGTCATTCCTCCGCAGCCCCTCCCGCCCCTTGTGTACGTGGGCTCTTGACCACCCAGTCGTTTTGCTCCCCCTTCCCTCCTGGCCCAGCATCTGCGGGAGCTGCCCTCTTGTGTGCGGCCGTGGCCACCTCTGTTGTCCTCAGTCTCCTCGTCTGTAAAATGAGAAGGGGAGGCCGGCTGATCTCCAGTCACCTCACAATCTGTATCTGTGCCCCCCGGCCACAGACCGTGGGGGGAATTCACGGTGCTGTCCAGCAGTCCTCTTGGACGTCCCCAGAGGACCAGAGTTCAGTCCTGTGCTTTAGCCAAAGCTTGTCCATTTCAGCCCAGCCTAGAACGACACTGTTCCTCTCTCGCTTCCTAAAGAGAACCCCAACCCCCCTGACTCATAGCTGACTAGTGGATGGAAAAGGAACCTTAGGAGCTTGGCTTTCTTCTGCTCTGCCCTCAGTGCCACCCAGAGGAGCGTCGGGGAGAGCCATGGCCACCACAGCCACCAAGCGTGAGGGGCCCCCCTTCATTAGCGAGGCTGCCGTCCGAGGGAACGCTGCTGTTCTGGACTACTGCAGAACATCCGTGTCTGCCCTTTCTGGGGCAACAGCAGGGATCCTGGGCCTGACTGGCTTCTATGGCTTCGTCTTCTATTTCCTAGCATCTACCCTCCTCTCCCTGCTCCTAGCCCTCAAGGCTGGAAGACGATGGAACAAGTATTTCAAATCTAGGCGACCGCTCTTTACTGGGGGCCTCGTTGGGGGGCTCTTCACCTACATCCTCTTCTGGACTTTCCTCTATGGCATGGTGCATGTCTACTGAAGGGAGGGAGGATCAGCATGCAGAAAGACGCCTGCTGGGGGTAACAAGATGTAGTCTGCTAGTTTTCCAAGGGAATTGACTGTTTGTGCTGTTAATATTATTAGTAACTTATGTTGGGAGAGAGATCTCTGGTGAGAGTCCGCAGATTAAATCAAATGTGAAACGTGTCGTGCATTGTTTTCTGCTTTGTGCAAATTCTGTTAGGGTTTCTCTTCTGCCAGTGGCAGAAATAACCCGTGAGGAGCAATGCTTTCTCTAAACCTTGGGGGAGCCCCGTGGGCAGGGCATCACACAGCTAGTAAGTGTCAAGTGTTTGGTCTGAGTCCAGATTTGAACTCAGGTCCTCCTGAGTTCAGGGCCAGTGCTCTATTCACTGTGCCACCTGGCTGCCCCCTGACTTGTCCTACTTTGGAAGGGACCAGACTCACATCTTTGCTCCCATTTCTCATGGGTTACAAGGCATTTTATTACGCACTGATTGTACAAAAGTTAGCATTGCCATGAACAGCTGGCACGAGCCCCAGATGTCAGAAGAAGTGGGGCTGTGTGTGTCTGCTCTGCAGGCTCCAGAGATGCTCCTCCAAGATGCTTTTGAGCAGACAGACCCCTGTTTAGAAATGCTCTGCCCTCACCCCCAGGCACCTCTCGCCTCTAAGGACTTGGAGGAGGGTCCCCTTGTGCTCCTTGAGACAAGGGCTGCCTTAGGGTGAGACTGGCTGACTGAAGAGTGGGGCCCCCCCCTGCCTGCCCAGCCTCGTGTGCTGCTTGGGCCTGGCGGGGGGCTCGCTCCAGAGGCCTGGTGAGAGGATGGGACTTCCCTCGCTGGCCCCAGGAGCCTGGGTAATAACGTTTGCTGAGCACTTACTCAATCCTCAATCCTCATCAGAACTGAATTCTAAGTTTCTGGTCTAGGGCATGAGCAGAAAGAAGGTTCTAAATTGTAGAAGTTGCCTCTACCCACCAAACTTAGGCACCCCCAAAAAGATGGGAACTCACTCAGCTGTCAGGGACACCCCCAAACAGCGCGGCAGAACGGTGGCTCCTCCTGGTTCTGACAGACAGGGGCCCAAGCTACACAGAACCACGCGTCAGCAGGACATGTCTACCCCCGGGCTGGCTCTGCCCCAGCTGAGAGCCCCCTGGGTCACCCTGACTCCGTTCCCTCTTCAGAGTGGGCAGGGGAGGTATGGAGGGTGCTCCTGCAGCCCCCGGGGGCCCAGGCACTGCTCCCAGCATGTTGTGGGTTCCCTTAGCCCTGCTTGGCAACAGCCAAGAAGAAGGAGATGGGGTGGCCCCCTCGGTGAGCTGGCCTCTTCCCCACCTTCTCCAATGATTTCTAAAACAACTGTTGTTTGTCCAGGGTGGCTGACCCCTCCAGAAGGCAGACACTGGCTGCTGACAGAAAGCTGCAACCGTCAGGTCCGCGAAAAGGTTCTGGAGAGCGGGACCGGTTTGGAGCAGTAGACCCCCTCCGTGTGTGCCCCAGGCGCCAGCTCCCTTCCCGTGCTCCTTTGTGGCAGGGGCGCTGCCCAAGCCACTCTCAGGAGGGAGGCTCCAGCTACTTCTCCACCGTCTGGACTTGCCCCAGGGGCTCCTCTCCAGCTGAGAGGCCTGTATCCTGTTTCCCATTTGCCAGGTACTTAGACAGGAGTTTTTGTGAGCTTAACCTGTGGAGAGAAATGAAAGAGAGGGGTTGTCACCATGAGACCTTAGGCCAAGGAGGGCCTCTTTCCTGGCACTGGGCTGATCTTCCCTAGTCTCTGGCTTGGCAGACACCCGATGGCGCCGAATGCAGGGCAGCAGAGAGGGGCAGGCCTGCAGGGGGTGGACGGGCAGCTCACCTCACTTGTTCAAATTTCTTTTCTCGATAGAAGTGGCTTTTTTTGATCAGGTAGATGAGCACTAAGTCACAGAAGAAGGCCCCCTAAAAAACAGCCAGTGATGTCAGCACAGGACCTCCCGGGGGGATCCCTGCCCTCCCTGAGTCTGTCCTCTGCTTTTAGCTTGTCCGAGGGCCTTTTGCCACACCCCAGAACCTCCTGGCAGCCAGCCCCTTATGAGGCTGGCCTGCACTAGAACCCGCGATCTCTCCCACCTGAGGAACCCCAACCTCACAGGAACTACAGTCTGGGCCCAGCACCAAGAGCCCAGCACCCAGGGCTGCCGGAGGGAATGGGGATGGGGGGAAGAAAGAAGCCATCTCCTTGTCTTGGCCAATGGTGACCTGCCTCGGGGCTCCAGGTCTGGCCAGCAGGGGGAGAGGAAGGGGCTGGGCTGGGTACTCACGGCACCCATGAGAGCCATGCTCGTGCCCACGTTGATGACCATAGGGATGATGTTGAACTTCCCGGCCTGAAAGAGTCCAAAGGGGTCTTTGGTGGGGGGCAGTCGGGCTTGGGGTCCGGAGGGCACATGCCCTGACCCAGCTTGAGTGTGGGAGAGCCCATGGCCACGCACCTTGCCATTCACCAATACATCAAAGCGGATCCCATAGACCTTCATCAGTGTGCGGAACTCCACCCCATTGGCATCTTGGTAATACTTAGCAAATCTGGTCAAAACAGGAGGCACTGATGCCAGGTTCTGGCTGCCGACCCAACCCCCATGCAGAAAGCTAACTCATGGGTCTCTAAGCACCGTCATCCCAAGAAGAAAGTCGCTGGTCCTGATTCACTGACAGCCGGGGAGGCCCTGGGTGATGGAGCCCACCCTGGCACCAGAACCCCAGGCTTTCCGCTAGCTTAGGCTGGACGGGGTGAGGGGGGGAGTGCTGATTCTGCTGCAGAGCTCCCTGGAGAGGGCAACTGCACCCCTGGCGGTCCCAGACTTGTTCCCCCCCTTCCTAGGGACCCCTCCCTGTTCCCAAGAAGAGGCATCCGAGCCCTGCCTTGCACCCATCAGGGGGACCACACGCCTCATCCCCAGTGCAGTCCCATTTACCTGAAGTTGTATCCTGAGGAGACAGACTTCTCTGCAAACCTGTTGTCCAGACGCCTGAAGGAATACTGAGGCTCGCAGGCTGAGGGACCTCTGTCCAGATCGCAGTCCCATTCAATGTGAATCCCTATCACCCCGCCCTGAGAGAGAGAGAGAGAGAGAGAGAGAGAGAGAGAGAGAGAGAGAGAGAGAGAAAGAGAGAGAGAGAGAGAGAGAGAAAGGCGGGCAGAACTCCAGGACACAAGACACGGCTAGGCCTGGGGGAAAGAGGGGGAGGAGGGAGCAGGCATGCCATCCTGGGGCCCTCCCCACCCGTCAACTAACAGGTGTGTCCAGATGTGTGACCCAAAGCGCAGTGGTCCAGCTGTGTATGCAAAGTATGTCAGCGCCCCAGGTGTAACGTGCCACGGGTTCCCGTTGCCCAGGTGTGTATGGAACATCTCCTTAAGCCAGGTGGGATAGAGCCCATGCGGGGGTGTCAGCCAGGTAGGTCTAGGTGGCCCAAGTGTCTGTTAACGAGGAGGCTGTGAAACTTGGGCTAAGGCCCAGATGCTCCCCCAGGCACCCGCCTCTGGGAGCTCGCCCAGCTCCTGCGCCGGTGGGTTCCCAGGGGCCCAGGGCTGGAGCCAGCCGGTGCTTTGGGAAGGCATGGGTGTTTAAGGGCTGTTACCTCCAAGGCCATTTCCTGGAAGTCATTCCCAGTATAGCTGACCAGAGTGCCCAGCCGGAAGATAGGGCAGTAATGGTTGTCAGGACTAAAGCGGCAGAATTTCAGAAAGCTTCTGTCTTTGGTCTGCAACACATTGGACCTGTAGAGGGAAGGTTGGCAGATCCGTGACAGGGCCATGAGCTCTATTCCTGGCCATGGACACTTAGCCATGGCCGGCTCTGGGGAGCATGCCTTAATCGGGTTTGCAGGTGGCATGAAGCTAGAGGGATCACTAAGTAGACCCCACAAAGTCGGCATGACATGCATGGGGAGATGGGCACAGCCACAGACTCCCAGAGGCAGAAGTTGATCTGAGAGAGGCCAGCCTTCACCTGCAGATTCCTTCCCCACGCACCCACGGGGCCATCCCAGGGATGCCTGAAGACCAACAGGGAAGGAAACTTTCTAAGTGGACTGGGGTGAGGAAGATGGGGCTGGGGTCGTGAGATGAGGTGGGGTGGGGAGGTGGGCACACCGCAAGCCAGTCTTCCAGTAGCACGACAGGGCAGCGCCCGGAGCTCGTGTGACTCTGGCTAAGCCTGGCCTCCCCCCTGCCTGGAAAACCTGCTGCTCCCATTCCTGACCTCGGCTTCCTGTAAGCCTCCACTCAACCCCCCCTTCGACAGGAAGCCTCCCCTTGCCCTCCTAATCCTAGTGCCTTCCTTCTGATCATTATCCCTGTTTATCCTGCACATAGCTCCTTCGTGCACGTTAGATCGTAAGCTCCTCCAGGGCAGGCCCTGTCTTCTGCCTCTTTTTGTATCCTCGGCACTTAGCACAGTGCCTGGCACATAGTAGCTGCTCAAGAGATGTTGGTTGATTATCCTAAGTTGCTTTAAGAAAGGAAGTGACTGGGACTAGACAGGTCACCATCCCACTGTCCTCCACCCGTACGGACTCCTCTGGAGGGGTGTGGTTGGTTTAGGGCGAGAGAAGAGTTTGGCAGGCAGGAGGGGTGAGAGGGGAGACTGGAAAGGACGGGGGGGGGGGCTGTGTGCTGAAGAGCTCTGAAAGCCAAACAGAGCAGTTTACAAGGCTCTAAGGCCCACTCTCCCACAAGATCCCTTTGACCACTGGGTGGAGGATGGAATGGGGGGAGGGGGAGTTGGAAGGCAAGCAGACACCTTCCCCACCCCAGCAGCTATTGCAATAGTCCAGGCACTAGATGAGGAGACGAGGGTGCCGGGGGTGGCAGTGTCAGAGGAGGGAAGGGGGCGTGTTTGGGAGATGTTTCAAAGGCTATGAGTTGGACGCTGGGGGTGAGAGTGAGGCATCGAGGACGACAGGCCGTGTTACACGAGCCGCAGGGACTGGGAGGGTGGGGGTGTCCTCTGTGGTCACAGAGGAGGCAGGGAGGGGAGGAGTTCTGCATTGGACACGTGTTGGAGATGTCTGAGAGGCACATTTGGAGGCTGGCAGAGAGGTCGGAGCAGGAGAGGGAGATGGTCATCGAGATGCCCGAGTGAAGTGGGATAGAGAGCTTTGAGGACACATGTGGTTAGTGGGCACGGCCTGGATAGAGATCCAGTGAAGGAGACTGGGAAAGACCGGGATGATTGCATTTGAGATGCCCACTGTTAAGTGAGGGACAGGCTGGCCTGGGCCAGGTTTATGATGCCCACTTAATAAATCTCAATGGCTGCTCCCATCACCTCTAGGAGCAAACCTAAAATCCTGTTTAGAGCTTGTCACAACCTGGCCTCAGTCTACCTTTCCCATCTCCTCTCTGGGTACCCTTTGGGCCAGCCCTGCCACTCGCCACTCAGGACGCCCCACTTCCCATTGCCCTGCTTATAGTGCGCCTTCCTGCTGTCTACCCAGCAGATGCCCGGCCTCCTTCCAGGCTTAGCTCAGACGCGGCCTTGTCCAGGATGTCTGTGGGACCTCCCCCTTCCCTCTGGCCGGTCATCAGTATGGGTCTCCCATGTCACATCTAACCTAGTGATTGGCAGGGAAGCTGTTTCTGTGGGTCTCTCCCTTCTCCCATGCTGAGCACAGTGCGGGTCACATAGTAGGTGCTTGGTAAATGTGATGGCGGACTCTAGACATCAGAACTAACATGTGGCTGAGGCTGTGGCTAGCCCCACCCATCTACAGAAGCTCCTCCCTCAGGGAGGTGCGAACAGGGCCCCCAACACCAAGAGGTCTCCGTGGGGACATTCTCCAGTGCCAGAGCAGGGCTCCAAGGCCTCTGACCAATGCAGCTCAGGGAGTCCAGGGTCCCCCCGGCGCCTCATGCTCTCTGAGGTGCAGTCCAGCTGCTGGTCTCATCTGTATTTCCCATCTGAACGGGGCATCATGGGCTGGGGAGAGAGTGGCACGGTGCCCCCCCCGGGCAGCTCCCTCTGCCCCTCACCCCACCTCTGCACACAGCAGACCTGCATGGCCACAGTGGCGCCCTCTCCCCTTCCAAAGCCCGGCCTCAGTTTCCTCATCTGCCAAATGAAGGAAGGACACTAGCAGACCTCTAAGGCCCTGTGAGTCCCGGTGTTCCATGGCCCGGTGATCTCAGCGATGCCTCCGAGGTGGCAGCCGAGACACACCACCAGGCTTGGTCATGGCGGTTATTCAAAGGCACCTTCACAAAGAACTCATCACGTCCACTGACACTGCAAACGTGCAGTAGTGTGCATACCCCTACACAGTGCACTCTGGCATGCTCGTCGATGCCATGCTTGCTGGGCACCCTAGCACGCTCACTGATGCCATGCTTGCCAGGCACCCTGGCACGCTTGCTGATGCCATGCTTTGCCGGGCACCCTGGCACGCTTGCCAATGCCACTCACACACACATGGATGGGCATCCCTGATCTTATTTCTGTCTGCTTTTCACACCACATCCCTATGAAGAGGGCAGAGAGGAGCTCCCACCACCCTGCACATGCACCCTTCATTTGGAACTAGCAACCAGGGCTTCCTAGAGCAGCCACCCACCCTACTTACTTGGAAAAGTTGAACCTGGGGAAGCAGATGGTATTCTTTATGTAGACGGTAAAGTCTTCAGCCTTTCCCAAAAGTGGCTTCCTGAAAGTCCCAGCAAGTCAGGTTAGTGATTGGTGGTCTGAGCTGAGCTCCTCAGGCACACTGGGCTGCCAGGCTAGTGGGGAGAAGGAATGAGGAGACCCCAGCAGCTTGTGTGCGTACAGGGCCGCAGGGTGCTCAAAGCCCTATGTCTAGGACTGTCTGGGCTTCGCCCTACTCCAGCTTGGCCAGCTGCCATCCCACCCTGGTTCTCTCGCCTGCCTCCTAGCTCTCCTGCCTGGATGGAGGAGCAGAGGCCAGAGGCGGCATGGACTGCCAGAAGGTTCCCGAAGGGTCATAGCTGCCTCAGGCATCTGTTCCTCCCCCTAATCCCCTCTCCTCACACCCGGAGAGACTTACGTGGGCTTAGACACCTTCTCCACCGGGCACCAGGCAAAGATCTCACAGGTGCCACTGCTATTGCCAGCCCCCATCAGACAGGTGCCAGTCTTTACTCCTGGGCAGGGAGGGAGCGATGGATTGCGTGGCGGAGGGACTGGTGCTCCGAGTCCAGCCCCGCCCCAGGCCACCCCGGCCATGGCTGCCCCCCCCCCCGTGGCTCACCGTTCCCAGTAATGACAGCTTCTCCTTTGGGGCAGTCACTGTCCTGGGAGCACACGGCGCCAGGGACGCGGGAGCTCTGCTGGGCGGAAGGAAATGGGGGTGAGGAGACCAGAGAAGGCACAGCACCCCAAGTGCTGGGCTCGGAGTCAGGCAGACCTGAGTTCAAATCCGGCCTCAGACACCTGGTGACCCTGGGCAAGTCACTTAACTGCTGTCTGCCCCAGTTTCCTCAACTGTAAAATGGGGATAATAATAGCACCTCCCTCCAGGGTTGGTGTAAGAATCAAATAAGATAATAATTGTGAGGGGCAGCTAGGTGGCGCAGTGGATAAAACACCGAACCTGAGATCAGGAGGACCTGAGTTCAAATCTGGCCTCAGACACTGGGTGACCCTGGGCAAGTCACTTAATCCCAATTGCCTAAAAAAAAGCTAATAATTGTGAAGTGCTTAGCTTGAGCTTGGACAGCTTAGGTGGCACCAGAATGCAGAGAGCGCCAGGCCTGGAGTCAAGAAGACCTGAGTTCAAATCCAACCTCAGACACTTACTAGCTGTGTGACCCTAGACAAATCACTTAGCCTGTTTGCCTCAGTTTCTGCATCTGTAAAATGAGTTGGAGAAAGAAATGGCAAAGCACTCCAGTATTTCTGCCAAGAAAACCCCATATGGGGCCACAAAGAGTCTGACACAACTGAAAACGAAAACAGTGCCTGGCTCGGTGGGTGCCTGAGGAGGCATTGTAGAAATCCTTCCTCCCCAAGGAAGGTTCTGGAGATCCAGCCCCTTCGTCTCCCATCTCCCCTCCCAAACCCCTCTGCTCCCCAGCACCAGATTCAGCTTCCCAGCTCAGAAGGCCTCAGGGGCTCCTCCCTGCCCAGACAACCTCCAGACTCCTGAGTGTGACATTCAAGGCCCTTCACAAACTGCCTCCATCCACTGGCCCGATGTCACCCCTCCCATCACTCTCCTCCAGACCATTCCTTAAACCCAGTTCACACCTTCCTGCCTCCCTCACCCATGCCAGCTTTGCCCGCCCAATTCCTCCAAGACCCAGATCAGATGCCACTCCCTCCAGGAAGCCCTTTCCTGCCAGCTCCAGTGCAGACAAGTTAAACTCTGCCTGAGGGTCCTGAGCCTGGGGAGGCCTGGGCACCATCCTCCCAAAGGGCTTTATGCTCTCTGCTGTCTTTTGTCGAGCCCTAGCTGGCATCTGGGCCCAGCCCCTTGGGCACCAGCCCTCTATTCCCTCCTCTAGGCATGGACCCTGCGGCCCCTCAGCCTCTCCCACCAAGGCCCACAGGATTCTCTCCAGTTCCCATTCCATCCTGGCAACCGTGGCTCTCTTCCTTCTCCCCTCATCCCTTGTTTCATAAACCTCTGAGCATTCAGTGCCCACATAACAGTCCACATCCTCAGAGCCTTGAATTAATCAACTTGCAAGCTTCCGCCTCACTCTGCCCTAGAAAGAGCCAGGCAAACCAGAAGATAATAGGTCTAGAAGAGGCAGCAGGGACGTGATCAGATGCCCAGAAGAGGCACCTATCTTTTGTCCTGCCTGGGGCTCTAAATAGTGGCATGGTCAGAGCTTCAGTTGAAGACAATCCCTTTGGTGGATGCTCCTTTGTGGGCGGGGTGAATGGAGGTTGGCAGAGACTGGAGGAATCCCATTTATCCTGCTATCTCCCCCTGGCACTGAGAGTCAGTGTCCTATATGGAGCAGGTGCTCAGGAAATATTGGATCAATTGAATTGAATAGAATATGGATGAGTTTGCAAAGAAAAATTCTGCTCCCTGTCCAGAACCTGACTCCTAATTCCCCCACCCACCCACCTACACACTTCTTGCTGTTCTCTCCATAGGTGCCCTGCTAGTTACAAAAAGGACTAGGTGAGAGGGGGTGGGCATGACCCATGGCATAGGGAAGGTGGCTTGGCTTGGCTCAGTGTTGGAGACAGCTCTGGGGCCAGATGGGGATAATGGGAGGGGAGGATGGGAAGGGAGGATGGAAAAGGAGGATGGGGAGGGGATAATGGAAAGGGATGTTGGGAGGGAAGGCTGGGGAAGGAATGATGGGAGGAGGAGAGAATGGAAGTGGAGGGATGATGGGAGGGAATGATGGGAAAGGATGGTGGGAGGGGAGGATGGGGAGGGATGATGGAGGAGATAATGGGGAAGGGATGTTGGAACTGGGATGATGGGAGATGAAGGGAAGGGAGAATGGGAAGAGATGGGATGATGGGAAGGGATACCCAATGGGGCTGACAGCTGAGGAGGCTTCCCTGGAAGAGGGTGATATAATTTTTTCAGTGTATACCCCTCCTTCTCCCAGTTCCCAGTCAGTCCTTTCTGTGCCCCATGGCCTCTTACCTCAGCACAATGGGACTGCCGCTGATTTGGGGTCACAATCAGGTTGGTGACAACAAAGAAAACATTTTCTCCCTGAAAAGCCAAGAACAGGACAGCATGATCCACATCCCAGATCGGGCCCACACAAATCCCCCTGTCCCTGCCACGGAGGCCATGTTTCCTCTCTGTCTGCCTTCTGTCTGAGTCCAGGGCTAGCCCCAGACCTAGGCTGTGGACAGAAAAGGTAAAGAAACCCTTTTCTACTAAAAGTTTTCATGCCTTTAATTTCACATCCTTCTGCCTCTGAGCTTTACCCCAATCCCAAGTCTCTTCTGCTCCCATGTTCCTGGCCTGGAACCCCCTGACCTCTATCGGCAGATCTCAGAGAGCTCCTCCTCTCCCCTCCTCCTCAGCACAGTTGCTGCTGCCTGAATCTAAGCGTGAAAAAGAAAGAGGAGGAAGGGAAGGGGAGGATTTGCTGCTTCCCCTCCGCAGCCCAGAGCCTTAGCACTTGCTAAGGACTCAGGTCTTCTCAGACTCCGGGCTGTTGCTACTGAGACAGACTGCTAGATGAAGCCAGGCCATCCCCTCTACTGCCAAAGACAGCGGCTAAGGACTAGGATGCATTGGGAATCAGAACACCAGAACCCCAGAGTCAGCAGGTACCTGGGCTTGGGATGGGGGGACCTATTGTCCACCCAGACCTCAATAAGAGCCCACTTTAAAAGGTCCCTGATAAATGGGGGATGGTCCAGGCTCTGCCTGAAGTAGGAGAGAAGCTACGCCCCTCCTGAGCAGCCCACACTGCCTTGAGACACCTCTCAATGTTAGGAAATGTTTCACTGAGGCAAAAGCTTCCTCTAACTCCCCCCGCCCCTCCCCAGCCCCCCAGTCCTGCCTTCTGGGGCCAAGCAGAACAGGCTGGTCATTCTTCCATAGGACAGTCCCCATGTCCCCCTGGGTCACTGGGTCCTGGCTCCAAAGATGGAAGGGACCCTAGGGGGCAGCCCCCTCATTTGGACAATCTGAAGCCAGTAAGGCTCAGTGATCTGCCCAAGGTCACAGAGGGAGCAGAGGGCAGAGCCAGCATTTGAGCCTGGCTCCTCTGGCTCAGTTCATGCCCTCCCCCCCACTTCTCCAGATTCTTGAACTGCATGATGCCCTGGGTTGGGGCTCAGACCTGGGAGGGAATGACGTAGTCGGCCACATCCCAGAGACGCTCCTTTAGCTCTGAAGTATTGGTGAAGGCCACGCCTTTGACCTTGGTGATGACGGAGCTCTGGATTGATGTGTTCACTTCCTGGTAGCCTTTCTTCACTAGGAACACCCACCTACAAGAGGCAAAGGAAAAGGGTGAGGGCCAGAGCTCTGCTAGCCACATCGACACATTGTGACGATTACAGCAACAATGAGTAACTGACATGTCTAATGCCAAAGCCCTAGGGATACATTGTCTCATTTGAAGTTGAAGGGAACTGCAAGGACTGGCTGTCACGATTCAGCCTTACATGGGTCACCCTGGGCACCCCTGGCCAAGGTGGATGAATGAGGCAATTGATCCCAAGCCTGGTGGAGAACCCCTGCTGCGGCCCACAGCCTGGGGCCCTGCCGCTTGTGCAGGGGATTGCAGCATCGAGGCTGACCCCTGCCGCTCAGCATCTGTCCTCTGGCCAGAGAACCCAGAGAAGGACCAGCTTCCTTGGGGATCACTCTGGGCTGCACCCGCTAGCTCATCCTAGAGCATCTCCCACTCTCCTTGTTGGAGGGCACTGCCCCCAAAAGGTTGGAGGAGGGAAAGGGATGAGGGCCACAGTGGCCTATGCAAAGGACTTCCTGTCACTCTGGTGGGCAAGACTGGCCAATTCTCAGAGGACCCTGACCTGGCCTCACGGCCAAACTCCCAGGATCCCCGAGGGCTGGGTGGGTCAGGAGGGGCCACCTCATCCAAAGACATTAGAGCCAAACACCATCCAGCCAGGTGTGATGGAGGCCCTGCTCCAGGCCCCTCAAGGCAGGGTAGCCTTTCCAAGGCAGCCCCTTCCGCTACAGCTTGGATTGTCTGGAAATGCTTCTCAGCTTCCAGCTTCCAGCGGCGTCTCTGCAGCCAGGACAAGCAGCACGCGGCTGGTCCCTTTTCCATCTGGCTGCCCTTCACACACTTGAAAGAAGCCACCTGTACTGCCCAGCCTGCCCCCTCCAGACTTATCTTCTTCACACTGAATATCCCCAAAATGTGCCAAATCAGGCTTCACCTTCTGACTGCACTCACCCAGATCCTTCCTGAAATGTATTAGCCAGAGCTGAGCCCATAGCAGAGGACAGAGGGACCCCATTGACTCCCTGGGCCTGGACCCAGGCCTCTCTCAAGGCATCCCAAACCGAATCTTAATGCACTGTTTCTTCATTATTCTGTCACACTGTGGAGTCACACTGGGCTTGGAGGCAGTGATTGCAGGCAGAGAGGTGGCACCACTGGGCTAGGAGGCAGGAAGACCTGAGTTCAAATCTAATCTCAGACACCTACTAGCTGCATGTCCCTGGGTGAGTCACTTCACCTCTGTCTGCCTCGGCTTCCTCATCTGTAAAATGAGGACATTAATAGCAGTGCCCTTGAGGACCAAATGCGATCATATTTGTAAAGTGCTGTGCCAGCCAATGCTGCCTATTGGCCATTAGTCCACTAACCCTCTCCCCTCCCCAGATCTTTTAAGAGAAATTCCACTCTGCTTGAGCCTCATCAACTAGCAGAGCCTCAGCTAGGGTGAAGAGTTGAGATGAGGTGCAGTGTGGCTGGTGTTTTTCCTTTGGGGCTTTTTACAAAGACTTGGATCTACTCAATGAAGAGGTAGGAGTCTCTGAAACTGACTATACAACGACTGAGGAGGCATGGGGGAGGGGAGGAGACCACAGGTCCTGTCTTCCTTCCCAATCGACTTCTCTTAGTGGGAACGCTTCCTCCCCTCCTCCCTTCTCCTCCTCTTATTCCTCCTCTTCCTCCTCCTCCTCTTCTTCTTCTTCTTCTTCTTCTTCTTCTTCTTCTTCTTCTTTTTTCTCCTCCTTCTCCTCTTCCTCCTCTTCCTCCTCCTCTTCCCCCTCCTCCTCCTCCTCCTCTTCCCCTTTCCCTTCTCCTTCTCCTTCACCTTCACCTTTCTCCTCTTCCTTCTCCTCCTCCTCCTCCTTCTCCTCTTTCTCCTCTCTTCTTCTTCCCTCTTTTCCTCTCTCCTCTCCTCCCCTTTCCTGTCCTCTCCCAGTCTATTTCTCCCCAGGGGCTCAGTGATACCTCCTCCTCTCCACTGGTTTTATACTGTTGACTCACCTTAGCTGATCTGACCACACATGTGGCAGGTCACTCCCATTGATGAAGGACTTTCTCTGCTCTTAGCACAGTGCCTGGCACACAGGAGGTACTTAGTAAATGCTTGTTGACTGACTACACTTAGTTTAAAGCCTATGACTGACTGATCAGCACCTGTTCCAACTTAATTAAGGAATCCAAGTAGAATATTTGATCACTTGCTCTAAATGAGAAGGGGGATTGATTTATTCCATCAGGCCCCACCCTCACCTTCCTTTCTCCCAGGATGCTCTGCAGGACCCCTCACCTCCACCCTTCTTCCTAGGAAAGAATCAATGACAACTGTCTACCCCCCTATTCTGTTCTGCCTCCATCCTCAGCCCCGTAGTTATACAGTCTTTCTATCCCAAATAGGCAAGAAACCCTGAAGTCATCGCCATTGTCTTGGTAGGTAATGAGTTCCCTGTCTCTGAAAGTTGTGAGCTAGAAAGGGAATTCCTACTTCAGACAGAGTTTGGAGTCCAAGACTGTCCTTCTGATTCTATGATGGGCATAAGTTTCTGATGACCAGCATGCAGAGGGATCTGAAACCATGCCACACATACCACAAGGATCAGTCCAAGAAAGGAGGGATGTGACAGCTGCCTTCAAGGCAGCTAACCCTAACCCTAATCCTAACCCTAACCCTAACTGGCTGTTCTGCTCCACCCTTGGGGCCAGAATTGGAAGAAATCTGTCAGGGTTGCAGATGGGGCAAATGGGGCTGAGAGAATCTGCTAAGCCCAGGAGCTGCCTGTGTGGGGTGGGCTGCCGGGGAGGTGATAATGCCAACAGTGCACATTCCTAGAGGGTCATGAGGTTTGCAAAACACCAGACAAATATGCTCAATTGCATTTGATCCTTGTAACAACCCTGCAAAGGTAAGGTGCTATCAATGTCTCCATTTTACAGGTGAGGAAACTGAAGTAGGCAGAGGTGAAGTGACATGTCCAGGATCACCCCAACTAGTGTCTGATGCCAGATTTGAACTTGGGTCTTCCTGTTTCCAAGCTCAGGTCTCTTCCACTTTGCCCCCAGCCTAACCTTGATGACATAGGTGAGCTCTTTCTCATTAGAAGAAGCCTTCGGGCAGACTGGCTGATTCCAGTTCAGGAGCACTTCAGAGATGCAATTTCTGATCCAGCTCTGGGATCATGACTCCTCCACAGGACCAAGGCCGAGGACAGCCATCAGGCCCAAGAAGGCTCAGCGCCTTCCAGTGACTCTCCCCAAGAAAGGAGGAGTGCCCTGTGAGCAGTGCCCTGGATCTAGGGCCACAAGGTGAGAGGCTCTGTCCCCAGGAGGCTCTGTACCACTGTCACCTGCATCTAGCTGGCTCTAACCAAGCCTTGACACACCTCCTCAAGGAAGTACCTCTGCGCCTCCTCCCCTCCCATCATTCCAGCCAATCAGCTTCTCTAAACCAGCCTCTCCCACCATAGTTTAATTAGAGAGGTGTGTTCAGCAATTCTGACAGTCTGCAGTTAAAACTCCAGGAATGGTCTGGGTCCTGGAAGTAATGAGTGGATGTTAACTAAGCAGGTGCTGAATCCATGCAGAATTGAAAGAAGGAAGAAGGAAGGGAGGAAGGAAAGAAGGAAGGAGAGGAGGAAGGGAGGGAGGAAAGAGGAAAGGAAGAAAAGAAGAGAGAGAGAAAAGGAGGAGGAAAGGGAATGAGGGAGGAAAGAAGGATGGAGGAAGGGAAGGGGGAAGGCAAGGAGAGCCCTTGGGCCCAGCTGCCTCCCTAGGTCTGGAGAAGAGGGCAATAGGGAGCTCAGCCAACAGCCTGTCCTTGTCAGTCAGCCTGGCCTGGAACCTGGTTGGCCCTGGCTATAAATAATCCTGAGCTGGGGGATGACTCGGCCATCTTCCGGCCACGGGCACCTGGAGGACGATGGAGGAAGGGGGAAGGGAAGGGCCAAGGAAGCTGGCAGCCAAGGGGCCGCCCTTCCCCACCCCCAAGCAGTGGGGGTCTGTAAGCCTTGGGGAGGACAGCGGCGAGAGCCTCCCCTGTCTCTCTGTCCCACCGGCCTGACACCAGGAGCTCCCGTCCCACTAGGCGCCCAACAACCCGTAAAACACAGGGGAGCCTCTTGGAAGACTTGGGGCGGCGGCGGGGAGGAACGGGGCAGGTCCCTTGAATGTCCTTGGGGCTGAGGGTCGTCAGACACGAACCTTCGATATTCTGTTCTCTAAGCCCTTCGGTATACAGACGGGGAAACGGAGGCCCAGACAAACCTGGACGAGGTTACACAGGGACGTAGATGGAGGTTAGGAGGCCAGGTACACACACACACACACACACACACACACACACACACACACACACACACACACACACACACACACTCACAGACACACATTCATACACACACACACACACACATACACACTCACTCTCGCGCGCACACACACACTCACTTACACGGCCGCCCGCGCACTCACCCCAGCAGGTACACCAAGATGGCTAGCTGTATCAACCGGTAGAGCAGTCCAACCTTCTTGTTCTTAACGATCACATACTTTTCCGTCTTGTAGTCGAACAGGCTGAAGCACAGAGTCTTGTAGTCCATCTGGCCGGCCTCGCTCAGCCGCGGGGCTGCTCCGCGCTCACACTAGGGAGGCCCCGCAGCTGGCGGGGGGGGGGGGGGAGGCGGGGCTCATCCTCAGTCCCTCCTCCCCGCCCCTGCCCGCACTGCGGCCTGGGTCCGGCCTTGAGGTCAGCCGGGGAGCGGGGCTCTCCTGGGCATAGCTTCTGCCGCTGTGTGGCTCCCGGTGCTGGGCTGACTTCGGACAACCGATAGCAGGAGCGGCGGTGGGTGGGGGGGGGGGGGGAGGGGCGTGCTCGCTGTGCTGGGGGCAGGGGGGAGGAAGGCGGAGCAGAGGGTCCCTCAAGGAGCTCGGGCCTCCTCCTCTGCTCATCCATTCATTCGTCTGGTCAGTCCTTGGCTGGGGAGAGGGGGGCGCTATGGGAAGAGGGTGAGAAGAAGGGAGAAGAGCGGAGAAAGGGAAATAGAGGAAGAGGGGGAGGAGAAGGAAGAGGGGAGAGGGAGGAAAAGAGAGGGGAGGAATGGGGAGCAGGGAGTGCTCCCTGGGGAGCCAGGCCCCTGGGCAGTGGCTGCTGGCAGGACAAGCCCTCAGATCTGGCCCCCGGCTGGGGCAGGGCAGACTTCTCCAAGCCCACCCCAAACCAGTGTGCTCAGTTTTACTTCGGTTTTCCCCGGAGGCTGCTGCAGCTTTTACAACAGCCGAGCCTAGCAGTGACTGAGCACCCACAGTGGGCAGAGTGTGTGTCACCTGGCTGGCAGGCTGGAGGGCCCATGGAAGGGAAGGAAGAGAAACCCACTCTGAGCACATACAGCCTTGTGGCTAGAAGCCAAACAGGCTAGTCAATCAGTAAGCATGTGGCTCCCTATTACGTTTTGTTAGAGGGACACAGGCCTCCTGATTGGTTTTTTTCCCTCTTTTTTTTAAAAATTAATTTATTTTGATTTATCAACAATCATTTCCATAAGCTTTTGAGTTTTAAATTTTTCTCCCCCTCCCTCCCTCCCCACCTCCCTGCCATCGAATGTTGGCTATACATGTACGTTCCTATTAAATATATTTTCACATGAATGATGTTGTAAGAATTAGAACCAATAGGAGGAACCACCAGAAAGAGGGGACAAAACTCAACAGAAGGAAAAAAAAATAGCAAAGAGTCTGCTTCGATCTGCGTTCAAACTCCATAGCTCTTTCTTCTTTGTGGACAGCATTTTCCATCATGAGGCCTTTGGAGATATCTTGGATCCTTGCATTGCAGAGAAGGGCTAAGTCTATCAATATTAGTCATCGCACAATGTGGCTGTTGCCGTGTACAACGCTCTCCCAGTTCTGCTCACTTCACTCCGCATCAGTCCATACAAGTCTTTCCAGGTTTTTTCTGAAGTCTGCCTGCTCATCATTTCTTATAGCACCATAGTATTCCATTACGTTCATATACCACAACTTATTCAGCCATTCCCCAATGGATGGGCATCCTCTCAATTTCCAATTCTTTGCCACCACAAAAAGAGCTGCTATGAATATTTTTGTACATGTGGGTCCTTTTCCCATTTGTATGCTCTCTTTGGGTTACAGCCCTAGAAGTACTGTTGCTGGGTCAAAGGGTATGCATATTTTTATAGCCCTTTGAGCATAGTTACAAATTGCTCTCCAGAATGGTTGGATCATTTCACAACTCCATCAACAATGCATTAGTGTTCCAATTTTCCCACATCTTCTCCAACTTGTATCATTTTCCTGTTTTGTCATGTTAGCCAATCTGATAGGTGTGATGTGGTACCTCAGAGTTGTTTTGATTTGCATTTCTCTAATCAATAGTGATTTAGAGCATTTTTTCATATGACTACAGATGGCTTTAATTTCTTCATCTGAGAACTGCCTGTTCATATCCTTTGACCGTTTATCAATTGGGGAATGACTAGTTTTCTTATAAATTTGACTTAATTCTCTATATATTTTAGAAATGAAGACCTTATCAGAGAGACTGGTTGTAAAAATTCTTTCCCAGTTTTCTACCTTCCTTCTAATCTTGGTTGCATTGGCTTTGTTTATGCAAAAACCTTTCAATTTAATGTAATCAAAGTTATCTATTTTGCATTTTGTAATGTTCTCTATCTCCTATTTGGTCATGGATTCTTCTGTTCTCCATAAATCTGACAGGTGAACTATTCCTTGCTCTCCCAGTTTGCTTACAGTATCACTCTTTGTATCTAAGTCATGAACCCATCTTGACTTTATTTTGGTATATGGTGTGAGATTTGGGTCTAGCCTAGTTTCTGCCATACTCTTTTCCAGTTTTCTGAGCAGTTTTTGTCAAAGAGTGGGTTCTTATCCCAGAGCTGGGGTCTTTGGGTTTATCAAACAGTAGATTACTATAGTCATTGACAACTGTGTCTTGTCTAACCCGTTCCACTGATCCACCACTCTATTTCTTAGCCAGCACCAAGCAGTTTTTGATGATTGCTGCTTTATAATACAAGAAGATCTGGAATGACCAGGCCACCTTTCCCTGCCTTTCTTTTCATTAGTTCCCTTGATATTCTGGACCTTTTGTTCTTCCAAATGAATCTTGTTATTATTTTTTCTAACTCTATAAGCTACTTTTTTGGTAGTTTGATTGATAGGCCTCCTGATTGTTCCACAAACAACTCACTCTATCCCCAACCTCCATGCCTTTGCACTGGCTGTGCCCCATGTCTGGGATGCCCTCCTTCCTCTTCTCCATCTCTGAGAATACCTGGCATCTTTCAAATCTCACATCTGCAGGCCTTTGCCAGTCCCCTGGGGTGCATGGAATGTTCAGGAGGATGAGCTGGTGTGAGGGCTGCTCATCCACCTTTGGGGTTCACCTGTCCCCCAACTCTCACCTATGGCCCCAAGAAGCTGGAGTATAAGCAGCAGCCACAGCCCAGCAAAACCGTCTCAGCAGGCTGGCCAAGCCTGGCTGAGGGCTGAGGGGCCTCAAACCCATCAGTGACTTAGGCAGTGTCTACCCCAAGTGTGTGAAGCCTTCCCCGGGCAGAATGGGTGAACAAGAGCAATTTGTTTCACGGGCCATGAAGGCAGCTGAAGCAGGTGCTGGGGAGCGCTTGGGCCTTGGTCAGACATGGAAGATATCAGGGCCATCCACTTGTCTGGCCACTGGACGTGATAGCTCTGGAGGAGAGAGTGAGGCTGAGGACTCATGCGGCTCTGCCTCACTTCAGTCTCATTCCCGGGGTGAGTTAGGACATGAGCCTGGGATGGTGTTGATCCTTTTGGAGAACAAAGACCGAACAAGGTGTAGACGATGGCTCTGTCCACAGAGCCACCTGGCTGCTTCAAGGGAACCCTCAGGGTTTTCAATGTCATCCCAAAGAGTCGTTTATGGATATGGGATCATGTGGAGAAAGAAGATCTCCACAGGAGAGTGCTCACAAAGGGCTGGACCCAGGATGAAGAGCCCTAGTGGGGGTGGAAACAGTGAAAGGAGTGGGGTCAGGTCCCAGAAAACAGTGGCCAATGGGGCCTCAACTCCCCCAGTGACCACGAGATCACACTGGACCACAGCGACTCCCAGGACACCGTTGACCATGGCTTGGGTTCCCATTCTGTCTCGGACACCTCTATGGGTCTCAGGTCCTCTGCTTTCCTGACCTTCAATCTGATCCTCCCCAGAACCTCTCCCCATTCCCCCCCCACACACACACTGGGTGATCCATCCAACGAGCCACCTAACGAGTGTGGCGGCACCATCAGACGAGTCGCCATGAATAATCGTGGGTGTGAGGGGCAGCCTGAGCTCCAAAGCCGACTGAGGGGAGGGTGCCTCCCCCGCCCTGGGATCCTCCTTGCTCTCACAGGCTGGCTCTGCAGCTTCCTGAGTCCTCAGCTTCGTCTGAGAAGCAAAGCGAGGCTCAGGACCTCCTTTGGTGCGCCCGGCTTTCTCCTTCACTACTTGCCAGCACCCTTTGACCTCTTAGCACTGGCCCCCAGTCCCCCAGCCTTCTTGAGCCCCATGTCGATTTGCATGCTGCCATGCAAATGTCCTTCTCTCCACTTTCCTCTTTTGTTATCTCCTTTCAGAAGTCACAGAATCTCAGGTTTGGCATCTGACCCACTCCACCTCTTAGGGCAGTGGGAAGCCCTGACCACTTCTACTTTCTTTGACTCTCTGGGGGCAGGCAGCACAAATGTAACCAACTTCCCTCAGGCAGCCTCTCGAGTCATTCCCTGCCCCGCCTTCTCTTCCCCAAACTCCACAGGCCCAGGCCTCCCATGATGGGGACTCGGGGATCTCCCCAGCCTAGTGCCCTCCTCTGCATGCTCTCCAGCTCATCTGTGTCCCTTCTAGCCTGGAATGCCCAGATGGGTCTGAGCAGGCCAGGGCACAGCAGCCCTCACCAGCCTGTTGTGGAGCTCCGCGGCTCCCTTCAGCTAAGTCCAGACATGCTTTTGAGACAGCAGCATCACGACATTCGATTGACTGATTCCCGTTGCGTTCGACAGCTGCTGACGTCTCCAGATCATTTTCAGGCAGACTTCTCTGCCCTAGCCGTATTGTCCTTGTGGAGCCGATTTTTGGCAGATGAGCACATTCCAATACAATTGACAACACTTGACCATATTTCATTTTGCTTTGTCCCCTACCCCCCAGTCCAGCCCCAACAAGACCTTCCTGAAGCCTAACTCTGTTGCTGTCCAATATATTAGCTAGCCATCCGTCCCAGCTTGGTGACAATACGCCCTCTCTGGTCCTGACAAAAATCTGACCTGGCAGAGGGTCCCACACTGACCCCTAGCACACACTCATGGAGACCTCCTTTCATGCTGACATGGAGCCAATGATTATGATTTTGGGCTCTAACTTTCAGCCAATCTGAATCCCCCTCATTACACCTGGAACTGGCCCCCATCATTCTGTCTTCTCCTGAGAAAGACTGTCCTCCGGGCTTTGCTAAAATCTAGGTGAGTGGTCTTTATAGCATTCCCTGATCTCCCCACTGGTCGTCCTGTCCACAAGAAGAAGTCAGCCTGGCTTGACCTGTTTTGGATGAAGCCTGCCTGGCTCTAGTAATCACAGCTTTCTTTTCCAGATGGTCATTAGCCATTACTTTAA